AAAACAAAACAAAAAGAAACACTTTGAAAATTCAACTTCCAACGAAAATCTTAAAGTTCACGTGTGACATAATGCACATCTAATTAAGACTCACTAATCACGCAGTCACACCGCTAACTGGGCCGTAAAACCACCAAACACATACTGCCTTTGATATTCAATATCAGAACTAGATTGGTTTTTAATTTTGTTCTAAATATAAGATCTCAATCCACTATTTTGTCTATCATATTTATCCATTTTTTCAAAATAATCATTCTAATAGCTGTACATATTAAATATTTAATCAAATAATAATTGTAACTAATACATATAGGTTGTAAAGGTATTCTAGAAAGAACAGCACTTATTTATTATAAATAACTAATTTAATAAAAAATTTTAATTTATTCAAATTAGTCAATTAGTTCTTATATTAAAAATAGAATATAGTATATGGAAACGGGATTTTAGTTTATATCAAGCTTTTGAATGCACTGAGAGGCAAGCTATGTATAATAGTACTCACACACGTAAATATATGCATAAGGTCAAAATGGAATCGCACACAGAAATAGAAACAAACAGCGTCGGCAACACACAAAATGGGGGGAAAAAACAGAGAGAGAAGAATCCAAAGGATGCTGATATTATAAACAAAAACCCTAATTGATTGATCAGTAATGACCAATCAGAACGAAACAGAACTCCAATCATGCATAATATATCAACAAACCACACACGCACACACATGCACACTGTATACTTATAAGTTAACCTTCAGCGTAACAATGCTTTGAATCTGAACAGCATCTCTTTCTTTTTTTTTTTGGGAAATTAAAGAAGAGATCGACTAATTAATTATAAATGCATGATAAAAGCACGTGTAGTTTTCAATGCATGTACAGCTTGAGACAGTGTACTCAGCTAGCTGCTAAGGCTGCGATTAAGGAGGTGGCTACATTGACATGAAATATAGGTAAGGTTTGACGGAATCTGGTTGTGAACTCCGAGGAAAGCCACTGCGCGTGTCTCTGTGTTTGTGTGTGTGTGTGCGCGTGTGTGTGCAGACAGCCATGCACACAGAGACACAGAGAGGGTGATATGGGAAGTGGTCTGGGTAGAAAAAGATCTGCAGAGAAGAGGGACATGAAGGGGGTGAGGAGTAATGAAGGGAAGTGTAAATGAACAGTGAATTAGCAGAGTGATTTCTACAGTGTTTGAAGGTTAAAGTGTCCTTTTCTATCTGTTGCTTTCGGGAGTATGGAGTTTGGACCAATTTAATTTCCTAACGTTCATGAACAATTAAGGTCTTAGCCTCTAAATGTGAATCACGCCCTCTGCTCCAACTCTTCTACACTAAGTCTTTGCCAGCCATTTTCACTTCCTTTGAATTTATTGCTTACTTTGACCATTCAGTACTTACCGTGTGCGTATTATAATTCGTGTGTGTGTGTGTGTGTGAGTGTATTATATATATAAAAAACACGTGATACAGTCTGATAGTTAATTAAATTGCGTACCAGATAATGATATGAAGAATGTGAGTCGACTTAAATCTTACGCTTGTATATGTGTTAATGCCAAATATGATTTAATTAATTTATAGAGTGAATGGAATTTAATGACGAACAAATGAATTAAGATTAAACTTATGGAGCGAGCTGAAAAAAATAGAATGGTATACTACCTCTAGTCTTTAATATAAGAACTGACTAATTTAAGTAGATTAAGAAAACTAATTAAGCTAGTCACTTGTAACAAATAGACATTATCTTTTTCTAAAATATCTTTACTAATCAAGTGTATTGGTTAGAAATATTCTTATTACAATAATTATCTTAAAAAATAGACAAATATAAAAAACAAAGTAAACAGTGATATCATATTTAGGACCAAAATAAAACTCAAACAACTCTTATATTAAAAACCGGAGGTAGTATGAACTAAATTAGTTGAGGGAAGCTATGTATGAACTAAAAGATTAATTATTTGACCTAAATTGCCCGAACTTCTTAAAACGAAACTTGATGTGCCACATTTTAATTCAATTTTAAATTTTTGAGCTGAAATATTCCTACCTATTTTGTCCATGATATAAGTGTTTTTAACGAACAAATTCATAATTAATTAACCTAACATATTCATTCAAAAAATAAAAAAAAATATTCTTATAATTTAACAAATTTTCAAAGGATGTATAATTTATTTACAAGCATATTTATTGTATGTGTACGTATATGATAAATGAGTAATCGTAAATACTATATTGTAAAGAAAATTATTCTTTTTATTTATGTAATTTTAACTTATTTGTAACTCAATTCTTAGATTTTAACTAAGTTGCATCAAATCACAGTGTGGAGATAAATTACAAATAAATTAAAACTATGAAGATGTAAAGATTAATTTTTCGTATATTGTGGTGACTTCATTTTGGTACGCCCATGTGATAGTTTAGGTTGATGCCGTGTGGGCCGCCGGGTGCTAAAAAATTCGATCAAACATCGCCAGCCCATCACGCAGCTTAATAAACAAGTTTTTTATTCCATGCTTTTAGAATGGACTTTTATATTTGGGAAAAAAAAATATGTTTAAAACTTTATTTTATATTTTATAAAGATTGATTTTGAGAAACAAATAAAATGAAATCTTCTTATAATTTATTATTTTTTGTCTCACAAATCTAAAAAAGAGATGGAAAACGAGAATTTTGAGAAATTAATAAAATTTAGATGTAAAAGTGCTCAACGACAAATGATTGCAGTCAAACTTTTAAGATTTTCTACTCACGTACATTATTTTTCTAATTCAACTTTTAGAGTTTTCAATAAAATTTCAAAATATAAGTTAAAAAGCCTACAACTATTTTTCTTCTTTTACACAAACAGGGCTATTTCGGTCAATTAACTTGTTAATGTCAATAAAGGATTAAGGTTTTAATTGAAATTTTAATACCTTTTTTTTTTATGGGGGTTTAAAGTGTTACTTGCCTTTAATAACAACTGTTTGTTTCTATTATAGGTTGAGGGAAACAGCTTCATGGGGCCCCCTTTTCTTTCTCAGGCGAAGAAATTTGCACAATACATAACCTTACAAATTTTAACTCCTGGGGGGTGAAAAAGTTAAATTTAACAGGTTAATGATATATCTTTCTGTGAATCCAAATTATGAATTAATGTTACTGTTTTATATTTTTTATTATCTTTATTTAATTTTCTTTTATTCGCTTGTAAGTACTAACCTGTTTTGTATGACATCGATCGTCCCTGATGCCTCATTAAATAATTCTGTTGTTTTCCACTGACCATGTCCCGGTGACCTTTCGCTTTTTCTGTTCCTTCAGTGCATGTTCGGAATTGGGGCAAAAAAATTGGTTGATGAAAAATCATATTTAACATGACTTTTAGGGGCAATTTAATTCATATTAATAAGGATTAAAAAAACTGATTGAAATATTTAATTTTCACACAAAAACTACTTTTTTTTTTTTAAAGATTTGAACCATCTCAAACTGAGTGTTAAATATATAATTTAGATAAGTTTTTTATTAAATTGATATTTTTATAAAAAATTATCTAAATATAAGTTAATTAATTTTTATTTTATTTTCAGTTCACAAAAATTAACTCGGATAAAAACTATTTTGCCAAGGTTAATATATACAAGCCCTAAATTATTCATTTTCTTGTCTGAGGTGTGATGTGAAATATTCTATCTGACAAGCCATTATTTTCTCAAATATTTTCCTTGCTAGAAATTAAAATTAACTTTCATCAAATATTGAGAGCGAAAGAACGAGATTTTCCTTGTTAAAAAAAGAAGAAGAAAGAAAGATAGATTTATCACTTATTTCAAACACAAATTTAAAGTTAGTCTTTTATAATAAGGGTGTTCAATTCGTCCCGTCCCGATTCTGATGAGTTCGAGACGGGACAAGTATGGGATGGGAGGGAAACAGTGATCGTAACGGGACGGGGTTGTCCCATCTCGTCCGAGGGCATTTTTTTTAAAAAAATTATTTATTAATAATTATTATTAGATTATTCAATTTACTTATTAATAATAATAATTATTATAGTGATTTTTAGCTCTTAAGTTGTAGTATATAGTGTTTCTTTTACTGTATTTTTTATAGTATTGTTTTTATACCTTTTTATACTAAATAATTGAGTTTTCCACATAATATTTTTTATAATGTTTTTATCTTTAGAAGTCCAATAAAAAATAAGTATTATAACATAAAAAATTTCATATAAAAAATTGTAGTATTTTTTTTTTAAAAAAAAGAAAACAGACGTCCCGTCCTGTCCCTATTCACCAGGACAGGATCAGGACGGACCTATCCCGGTCCCGTCCCGTGAACACTCCTATTTTATAATGTGATGAATCAAGATTTAAACTTGTAAAAATTACTCTCATTTAACTCCGGGCAGCATTTCTAACGAAAATGAGTTTATTGTTTTATTTCTAAACGTGTTTCTCATTTTCTCCATAAAAATCCAAACAAATTCTTTACCCTTGAGTGGAGTGAATCTTTCGTCGTTCCATTTTCCCTTTTTCTTTTAAATCCTCGTGATGTTTCGACTTCGTTCGGTACTTTACCATCTGATATTGTTAGTTTCCTTATTACATGCTGCCTGTAAATTCAGTTTATTATTGCTTATAAGGTTAATAACCGCGCGTTTTTCGGGCGAGGACAGTAGAAACCCTGGTACTTCATGCACAGAAGGTGTTCGTAAAAATGACGCATCAAAGCCACCAGCAAACCGGTCCAAAAATCAACCTATCTTTTCAGCATCTCATTTTTTTCCTTAAAAAATATTATATATATATATATATATGCAATTTTGAATGCTGAATAAAATTTATTATTAGCATCTGTAATTCGAGTTGATGAGATTGGACCAGTCAAAGGGATTGGACTGGACTATCTTTGCATGGTAATGATTTACCTTTAAAGAGATTTGAGCAATAATATGTGGCAACATCTTTATATATTGAGACCTTCCCTCTCAGTTCTGTCACAGACCCACTCTTCATCACCACTCTGCTTCCTTCCCTTTCTATCTTCCATCACTGCCTTCATAACTTCCATTTTCAAAACCTCCAACCTCTGTCCATGGCAGCTTTTTCATTCCAATACCACCCTTTCCTTGTTGACTCTCCATTTTTCTCTAGTGCTCCCATTAAGATGCCAGCTTTCACTGAGCAGCCTCAGGTTCAGGCTCAGGCTCATACAAATCCTGCTCCTCAGTTTCAAGAGACATCTTTAGAGAATTGCTTCGTTGATCAAAGCTCCAAGTTTAACATGAGTGATAATGAGCCTTCTTCTGTGACCAAAAACCAGAGTCCTGAGACCTCTGTGGTGTTGGATAAGCTTGAACCTGGTGAGCAGGTTACTCAGAAGGTGACTCCTATGGAGAAGAGGAGGAGAAACAGGAATCGTTCTTCCCTGAGTCATCCTCAATCGAAGGTAGGTAAACTTTAAATTTGAGCTTTCATGGTTCTTTGCTACAGCTTTGTTGTGCGGGATGCGCTAAATTCTCAAAATTTTGCTGCCAGAAACTGATTATCCTTGTTTGATTGCTTCGTGCTTATCTTCAATAGGAGCCTACCGGAGAAAGAAACAAGAGACAAAAAAAGAGCAACAATGGTGAGGTGAAGGAAGGAGATAAGCCAAAAGATAAAAAGAAGAATCAGAAGAAGAGTCCTGAAGAACCTCCAACAGGTTATATCCACGTAAGAGCAAGAAGGGGTCAGGCAACCGATAGCCACAGCCTAGCTGAAAGGGTAAATTAATATACACTCTAAAACATCTTTAAACTCTGGGTCCCCTTAGAAGTTAGATAGAGCTGTTTGGACATGGAAATTCCTAAAACTACCAAAACTTGATGTCTGGTTGTGGATGTTTTAGGCAAGAAGAGAGAAGATAAGTGAGAGGATGAAGTTGTTGCAGCGACTTGTGCCAGGCTGTGATAAGGTAATTTGAAGTTCGTTTCTTTCTCTTGAGATGCATCTTTATGTTTCTCTCAGATCTTCTGACACCTCTACGGGGTTTTGTTTATATATATAGGTGACTGGAAAAGCCCTCATGTTGGATGAAATCATCAATTATGTTCAGTCCCTACAAAATCAAGTGGAGGTACCATGAAATCAAGTTTCTTTTGTGGTGATGATTCCACATTGTTGATTGCCTGCAATGAGTAAAACTAACAAGTTAGCTATATGCCTCTATATTCTGCAGTTCTTGTCAATGAAACTTGCTTCTGTGAATCCCATGTTCTATGACTTCACAATGGACCTTGACTCCCTCATGATCAGACCAGAGGTGAAGTGGAACCTAGGGATTTGCTTATGATTTTTATATGTAAAATTATGGCTTATGAACTTGACTCAAATATTTGGCTTTGAAAATGTTCAGAAATCAAATTGCGTGGCATCAGCACCGCCATCTGTGCAACAAGGCAACCTCAACCAGGCCACAACTTTTGCTGATACAACCACCATTACCGCCACCGCTAGCACTGGCTTTCCTACTGCTAATGACTATCCATTGGACAATTCAGCTTCTTCTTTTCTCCAAGGACAGAGAGCCAATGTCTTATCTGAGGTATTCTAGAGATAACTAGAGAAAAATATCAAAATCAATATAACATATGAAGTTTATATCAAGTCGTATTCGCGTTATATATATATGGGTGCAATATCTAGGTTTTACAATAATATTATTTTTCTTTTTCCTGATTCTGATGAAAACATCATTTTCAGGACACAGGTAGTCAATTCTGGGACATAGAAGACCCACGCCAAAAGTTTCTTCATCCGTATGGGATCAACAACAGCTTATGTTTCTTTCATTAACAATAAATTTATATACAGCTGCCCTGCAAGGCAACAACATGTTGTAAGATCTCAAATCCTGCCTAATAAACAACAATACAAGATTTACGTATCTGTTGTTATCTTTTCTCTTACGCTTTATTTTGTTTTGTTTTTTTCTTTTTATTTCAGAGGATTTATCTTTTCCAGTAGGTACGGCAGCTCCAGACAGCCACGAGAATCAGTGAAAAAGTAGTTCTTATGCTCGAAAGACCAGAGCCACACTTGGAATCATTATTATCAGTCGGAGAAGAAATTAGAATTGGTCGCCATAATATTATCTCTGGCTTGGTTCCTAGTCCATCAGATTAAAGTGGCCTTTAGGACATGAATAAAGGGCGGCAAAATCAATGGATGAAGAACCCAGAGGACATATACTGCCGACCAAACAAGACCATATCTTTTCTAGATCCATTGTTCTGTTCCTGTTAACTCTCCAAGTGATATGTTGCACATATTCCAAGATGCTCTGGGTCAATCTTAAAGACATCAGACTTTGAATAGATCATTTCAATCATGTAAATTATATTATATGTGTGTGTGTGTATATTAAAAAAAGATTCTTGTGGTGGCAGTTATTCCGTTGCAACAGTTAATTTCACCGTTATTGAGAAATGAGAGGCCGATGCTACGATCATGTTCTTGACATGACAAGCTACGCAGTTTTCTGATCAGTTAGCTTTATGTATATGTTATCTGCGGAATCTTCAGAGGTTTGGCCTTATTATATTTTCTCTTAAATTATTATCCTGAGCGGATCAGCCATGGACAGAGCATCTACGTCTTCTTTTTCACTTCATTTTAATACGCATCAGAACTTTTATGACAGTAGCTTCGTTTTTCCCCCAACCGAACTCCTTTGTATGAAATTACAATCCAATCCTCCACGTCCCAATAAAAGACAATAAAAATGAAACAAGCAAGGAGGGACAATTTTTCTCTGGAAACAGGGTAGCTCCTGTCTCTCTGTATGTGGGACAGGACAACCAAACTGTGTGAATTGAACTTGCCAAAGCTTGTCATGTCCAAGCTACAAATGTCAAAGTTCTCGTATAGATGTGCTTCGTTAATTAATTGGTTTTCTTGGAAGTTTTACTCAAAAGAAAGCATTTAAAAATTAAAACTCACAAGACTTGGATTTTTATGAATATATGATTACTTAAAACGTCAGAAATTCCATTTCTTTGGCATCATTAACTAGAAAATACCTTGCGTAACTAACATGAGCTCCAAGATGAGTCATACTGCGATCTCGGTTTATCAATAACCTCTATATTTCGTATATTTAATATTGATGTAGGCTTTTGAACAGCTTCAGCTTAATTTCAGAAGATTGGTTTCAAATTTGCCCTATCAATAACAGAATTTCATCAATAAGTTCGGAAGATGCTGGTGTGAAAACATGGATGCCTTCCGGATGTCGCCTTGAAATTGAAACGACAATCTTGTCAACAGAAAATGACCAAGAGCAGTAAAGCCTTTCTTTCTGGGATTTCATTTTTCATTTTCTCCCCATGTACTACTGTTTTCGGCTTTTCAAATGGCCCACGTATTCAAGGATGTGAAAGAACATTATTAAACACCTTCGACCTTAAAAGACATGCTTTCTTCACAGTTCTGTGCAGTTTAAATTTGCAAGTGGGGAATGAACTTTTTTTAAGCTTAAAAGTAGCCTTTAGCAGGGGAATGTTAATTCGAAACAAGAAGAAAAATTATGAATTGAGGAAGAGAGACATTATCGCTTACCATCCAAAAAGAAATCAGAAATCCATCCCCTAAGCAGCTGCAATTTTTCTTTCTTATTAAGCTTTGAATGCTATGGTTTTAGACAAGCCATGTGGATTTGGTGTTCCACCTGTTCCCTCTGTCGACACACATGTTTCCTTTTCCTTACCAATCATATACACCGTCCTCTTCTGTGTGTCTGATCTTGAGATGGATTTGATTTATAGACAGATCAAGTAAATTATAAAGTTATATATATGTGTGTGTGTGTGTATATGTATGTACTTAATAACTTGCATATCTGTTTATCAAATTTGACTTCAAATTTCTCACCCAAAAAAACCAAAAAACAACTTCAGGCATGCCTGGTTTCTTCTCCTTCCCAGCTTGTCTGCTCTAGAACCAACTCCTTCAAAATAAAAAAAAATAAAAAAAATCCTAGTATTTGGTGTCAACCATACATAAATCGATTAAAGGTGAGGGAAACTAATGCGTGAAGAGTACCGTAAAAGTTTTCAAATGATGACCAATCGATGCAGGATTTGGACAACACAACAAATTTTGTTGTGTTCTCTCGGTAGATAGCTAATTGATCAGCAGCCACTTGGCCCCCCCTACAAGTTTAAGTCAAGAAAAAGCAATAACATGAACGAAAGCTCTAATAGAAGACCACAAAATGCTCCCCATAAATTACGAATTGATTAATTAATATTTAAAGAAATTTTAGTACCTAAAGAAGTAAATGCTGTATCATACCTGTTGCTCACCAACGCGTCCATCTGCAACAGAGGGGACCCCCTTGCTCTTTAGACACAACATTTCATGATATGGACTTGGACCCTCTCTCCTGAAACTGACTAGTAATCCAGTAATGACATTGTTTCTGGTAGTACATCTTTCTGCCATATTATGATCATTGCTTATTCAATGTTTTTTTTTATTATTAATTATTAAAAAAAACTGATTAATTATTGAGCTTTCATAATGTTTTCTCGTGGGGTCGTTCTAGCTCCCTGCAAAATCTCCCTCTCTCTCCCAATCCATCGTTGTTATTATTATTATTATCAGTTCATCTGCAAAATTGGGTTTGAAAGGAATCTTACGACAGCAACATTTACAGTTTTGCTGTGGAATTGTCTCCCAAGATTGCAAGCAACTCAATTAATATTGCAGATCTCCTGTCTTTGCATACTGATCCAATATGACAAGTCATCGTCCAAAACCCAGGACTCACTTTTTAAACATAATGAAAAACATATGACACTTGTCGCATGTTCTTGCCAGGTTCAACCCTAAATGTTAAAAATACAGATAAAAAAGATCAGATTTTGGGCATAAGCATGCAATAGAATGAATGTCCCTCTCTGTAATCAGTTTGTCTCCACGTAGGTAAGCTCAACTAGAGCCTTCTCTTATCTTTTTACAACCTTTATTACTACTGAGCGCTTTAGAATTTCTGGAAAAGAAGCTAAGGGGATATATATAAAGCTTTATGCTTTAGATGTTACTGTAGGCACAGTGACTTGGGAGGTCGCGTCAATGTGCTTATGATTGGGAAGCAGCCACGTCACTGAGATGCCAGCTCATACACGGATGACATGGATTGCTGCTGTTGGGTTCTGCAAATGCAAAGTAAAAAGTGGCTCAAGTTTAATAAGTGCGAGCAATAAAGTTTTACCGTTATGTACTACATCAGAACCTGCATGAACTAAAAAAAATGTGCTGATCAGTCGCCATCCGGTGACGTTGTTATGATGCAGTGTTGCCGTTTTAGATGATAGGAAACATGGGATAAGATATAGAAATATTTTTAGGTTATTTTGTTTTTATATAATTTCTTTACTTTATTGAATCGTTTTAATCATGAATGAATTTGGTAAATTATACAAATATTTTTCGGTCCTATTTACACAGTAGAGAAAAAAGATTGTTTTTTTAATCTGATTTAGAAATCACATTATTAAATTTTTAACATGTATGTAATATCCTATCCTTCATTTGTTATTTTTTAGGAAGTGTACATATTAAATAAGGGTAAAGTTTAAAAATTATTAAACTTTAAAGTAAAATTTGTAAGATTTGAGATTTTTCTTGATGTGACTAAAATATATTGAAAGTATTTATAAATAGAATTAGAAGAATAAATAGAAAGTAAAACTATTAGATGCGGGCTTGGTTAAAATTTAGGAGGTGTTTAGGAATTAGGAGAAGTGTTTTTTAAAAATACTTTTCCGTAAATCAAGATAAACTCGTTTACATATTTACTTTGTATGCTGTAAAATTATTTCTGAAATTATGGTTTGTCTTCATTCAAATACCCTCTTAAACTAGCTTCATAGATGTTATTTTCTCCTTTCTCTGTCTTTTTTTTTTTTTTTGCGAGAATAAGTAGTTAACAACACTGGGTGAAGTACTATAGTTTTTACAAACAAAAAAAAAATATATAATTTCATGAATGGGAGTGATTCCATCAAAACGTAAAAGACAGGAGACTGTTAAGCTTAATCAAGTCGTTTGTCTGGTTACTTAGCCGACATGAGCGTAAGTAGACACGCCCAGATCTTGGCTTTTGGAGCAATCTCCGACTTGGATTAAATGTTGACAGGGATATGACTAGTCTTATCATCATTATCTGTTATATATAATCCTACTTAATAATGATTGGAGGCCTAATACAACCTTAATCAGTCTGAGCGAATCACAAAACCTCGTCTCTCCCGTATTTATCACAAGTTACTTACTAATACAACGCGTTGGATTAGTGACGCCACTTAATGATAAATACCAACCAATTATGAATAGATTGCGGGTAACTATTTGCCTTTCGTTCCCATTCTAACTGTCTGTAATCTGAACTCTCATGCAATTTGGCCTTGTCGTCTGTCGGTCATGTGATGGTGATTAGTGAGAAGATTAAGGAATCATTAATTAAGGATCTAATTGTCGGTACCTACAGTTAATTTGTCGGGCACGCCTCATATCCGATCACATGTTTTAACTTATTACAGCCCCTGCCCAAACTTGATATGCCAACGAGATAACTAAGAAAGGAAGCTGAAGGTAGACAATGGATTGTACAATTAACTTGGCTACTTGCTAGTTGTTATTCTCTGCGTTTTTTTTAAAAAATAAACCATTTCTTTTTATTTTTAAATATAAACAATATTTACTAATATTTACTAGTTGTCTTAAATTTTTATAATTTTTCTCTCGTCGTTATTAAAAACAAGGTGGTGGAGTTTGAAGCCAAGTGGTGTCTGGCGGGAAAGAAAAAAGAGAAAGTGACAGAGAAATTGGGAGTGTTGGGAGAAGAAAATGACGTGAGATCATACTATTCAATTCATATGATAAAGAGGACGACAAGAAGGGGACGGACCTGCCCTCATAGAGAGAGAGAGAGAGACTTCCAAGATACGACCACGTCGGCCCAATGGGCCTATGGGCCCCACAATATGGGTCCTACTTGGACTGGCAGACCAGGGAGCAAGCACGCATGCTCCAGGGATGGCCTATTTGCCCATTCAACTGCCTTTGTCCCTTTATGTCCCTTCCTCCCCCATGTCCCCCTTCAGTTAACTAGGCAAGGTGCTCGCCTCCTCTATAAAAATATATATATTAAAAATTATTTATTAAAATAAATAACAAACTATTCTTTCTGGTAAAAAACACCTCACATCTAATATCATCCAATCATCCATGTTTGAACAGTGTCCAGCCACAAGCCTCAAAAGCACTGTTGCTATAATCATCTGTTTCTCTCGTGACTTAAATTTGAGATATTGGTTAAAAAAATAATTCATATTCACTTGAGCTTAACCCAATCGTAAGATAAAAGTTTGGGCGCAAAAAATATAGAAGTTTTAAAGCCTGTAAAGTAAATGAGTTTGAAATTCATTCATTAGCCTGGAGCTGTTCATGAATGAACCTTCATTATTTTGGACTTGGGATTCATGGGTCAAAATGCTATTGGGCCCTATATTATTGACATAGTTGGGCTTAGATGTGCCCTCAAGGCAAATGAAAAGGGCCCAGAACATAAATTGTCCAAAATGATATTGCAAAGAGAGACAAAGTGGATACAAAGGTACTTACAGGCCCAAAACGCTGTTTGATTTTGAAACGGAGTTGGTCGCCACCGAACTTGTGAGGAAGATGGCCCATATTTTAATTTTGATGCCTGAGTTGGGCATAACCCAAATCCAATGGCGTATCTGAATGTTTTTTTCTTTTTTAAAATTATTTGGTCAACGCGTCCATTGATGTGTACGAAGCTTCATTCATTGATATTGTTCGTAAGAAAGCGGACACATAGACCGTTTGCCTATTAATGCTAACCCTTAACTTCTCCATGAACGAGTCGGCAAACCTGGTCTCCGCTCAAACTCGTCTGCTTTCATTTATTAGCAACATTTAACTACATAAAAACTTACCAATCTTTCTTTCCCCTTGGAGAAAGATTTAAATTTGTGCTTTGTACGCAGGTGTATTTGTGTATTGAAATATTTGTGCATGTTTTTGTTTGATCTCGATTAAAAAAAATTATTTAGTCATTATTTATATATTATTGCATTTTTAAATTTATATGTTTTTACTATGTATTACTTTTATTTAAATTAAATAATTTTTTTTTATCATTTTAAGAATATATTATTTGAAATGTATTAATATATTAATAACACGCAGGCCTTGGTTTTGACTTTTGACCAGCGGGTCTATTTTCACATCATACTATCTCCGGTCATAAATATAAGAGTTAGTTTATTGATGTGAGTAGAGTAAGAAAATAAGTTTAGTTCGTTATTGTAATAAATAAGTATTATTTTTTCTAAAATATCCTTGCTAATCAAGTTTGTTTGTTAGAACTATCATTATTAGAAGGATTATCTTGGAAAAAAATAAATAAATATGAGAGACAAAGTGAATTAGGATCTTATATTGAGAATTAAAATAAAAGTCAAAATGAGATCTTATATTAAGGACAGGAGGTAATATCATTAAATATTATATGCTCACAAATTATTAATTAAATTTAATAATTTTCAATAATTCAGGCGAGCGAGAGCGAGAGTGTTTACACGCGTCCGTATGTATTGTGGACTGTAGATGGTCGAGGGTAAATCAAGCAATTTCCTCAACCTTCCAAGGCCAAGCGTCCAGGTCGTCCGCTACGCGCACTCGTATCGCTTCTTCATCTGCTCTACTCTCCGCAGTTACTATTATCTCTTTCTGTTCTAATCTAATTCACCCGCTCCCCGAAATCTCAATCATAAGTTCTCTTCATATTCCCTAAGAACCCTTCTTTCTAGAAACATTAGCGAATCTTGGGGCATTTTTCAATCGCACGGTTTCTTCTCCAACAGGTAGAAATGGCGGAGATTCAGCCTCCGGAGGGGCAGTTGAATAATGGTGCAGGAACGCTGATGGTTAACTCTTGCGAACCCGTCCCTTCGTCCAAGCGTCAAAGGAGGCCGAGCGTCAGATTAGGCGACATCGGAGACCAGCCGTACGATTCGCATGTTCGTCGGAGCAACAAGCCATGGAAGCTCGGTCTCGATCACAGGAAGGACTCCAATGCCTCAGGTAAATCCTCCAAGACTCGACCTTTGACGAATTTAAGTTCCGGAAGCGGTTTTGTGGATTTTACCGAAACCCTAGAGGGCGACGAGAAAGAAAGCAATTTGGATTGCGTGGCAATTGGTAGTTGGAAAGTGAAAGAATCGAAAAAGAGAGGTACCACTGCCACCAAGCGGGTCAGATCAAATTGGGTTTCCAGAATCGACGAAGGAGGCGGCGGGGTGGAAGGGGAGGAAAAATATAGCGCCGGCGAAGACATTGATGATGGATATAGGGATTTTGATAAAGAGAATTCGGATAGCCCCTTGAAAGACCAAAGCCCAATTCATTCGTTGGAGAATTTGGGTGTTGAAGGTCATGGAAATGACAGAGAGGTGCATTATCACGGCAATAGGAGATCAGTTAGGGCGAGGGTTTCAGAGGGTAGGGAACATCACGATGGCATTGAGCTGTCTGGCCCATCTGATACGGATGTGAGGGACTGGAAATGTGGGGATAGGAATGGCAATGGTGGAAGAGGGAGTTGTGGAGAAGATGGGGTTAGGATTTGGCTTAATGGATTAGGACTTGGTCGATATGCTCCTGTGTTTGAAATTCATGAGGTCGATGATGAGGTCTTGCCCATGTTGACGCTGGAGGATCTTAAAGATATGGGAATAAACGCAGTTGGATCAAGAAGAAAAATGTACTCTGCTATTCAGAAGCTCGGGAAGGGGTTTTCATAAGCTTCTTTACCTTTCTTGCCTAATGTAGCACTGGAGAATTCTCAGCCATAGCAAATTATGATGGATGTCTGAAGTCTGAACCCAGCTCTAGTATGTTCTTCCATAACTTGTTTGGCTTAGAATAGCTAATCTTAGTCCTCACTTGTTCTTACTTCCAAACATCTTTTTTCAATCCAGTGCAAGTACATACGAGAATGTTAATTTTGTTGAAGTAGTTTTTTTTTTTTTTTTGGGGGGTTCCAATGAACTAATTCTAATGATATCATTGATAAGTACAAAAGGCTACCGTTATGGGAAAGTATTTTTCTGAATGAGAAAAGAAGTGAAATGCTGTATGATCTCGTCACTGTATCCATTGGAGACACGGATAAATCTTCATACCATTTTCCGTGGGCGCCTCTGAAACTCTTGGCCTGTTTGTATTAATAGATGCTTACAATTTTGGAAGAGTTCCCAAGCCAGGAGCTTCCTAAAAATAAGCCAAATTTGTTTCGCTTCACATGTCATTGAGGTGTTATTCTTCTGGTAATTTTGTTATAATACCCTGCATATTTTTGACTGATTAGTTGGAGTTTATGCATTTTAAATCTCTTTGTTACTTGCGATTTATGCACGGGCAACTTTCTATTCTCTGCTAGTGTTGAGAATCTGGTGTTTGACTGTTGGACAATGAGAGGGTGGAGATGGGCTTGCTTTGTATTCAGGTAGGCACTGTTTCTTACATCCTCCTTTCAGGCCTTACTGGTGAAGTGTTTACTAGATCGTAGTGGATTCAATAATTCTGTGAGGCTGCTCACGTGTCACTCCCTCTCTCCTTCAAAGCAATGTGGGCCCTTCCAAGTGCCAAGAGGACCGAATATTTTCTCATGCTCTTGGCCATTTACTTGTTCAAAGAGCGGGAAGTTTTGCTAATCATAGAGCAATCAGGAGGTGAGGTGATGATGACGAAGGTCAATATGTGAACTGTCAAATGATTGCATCAGGTGGGAAGCTGTGCGTGTGTGTGTGTCTTGTGGGGAGGAATTCAAATGAATAAAGTCAATGAAGGAACCTGAGTGGTAACTTCCGTATTCTATTAACATCCATTAATGAGCCTCGAAAATAAATGATATGTCACTTGGTTTACTATCCCGGAAATCCCTTTCCCCCTCAATCTGACTGTTTCACCCAGCTTGCAACTAAAGAGCTGTGGTGCTCACTGATGTGTCACTGGTTTACTTTCTAGTACGGAGACTAGTATTGAATAGCCAATTATGCCTCTCGTGAGATGACCGCTGCAACTCGGATCACCAATATCAATAGACAATGAACATGAATGGTTTCAAGTCGCTGCCAAACAAGGTGCTTGTTGAGTTTAATTTAATCCGGTTTCGCCCGTTCATGCGGATTGAAAACTTGACGGCTTATCTGAAGTCTCATTTTAATTGTAATCAATGAGGATTGAACTCTTTACAGCTTGTCAAATTTAGTTCCAGGACGAGGAATCAGATTAAAAGAAATGGATTCTTTTGATATTTTATACTAATAAATGATGAGCCCGGCAAAGTGCATTCGAAGTATCGAGCGTGTTTAAAAGCATCAGCACCAAGAAGTATTGACTCCATGTACCGCTATTACTCTGACTTGACACTTCTCCATCGAATATGCGTAGCTGCATTTGATAGTTAAATATACTCAATTTTACGAAAACAGAGTAGAGAATAAAAATAATTTTTATCTATGAAATAACGAAGTTTAGCTGATCTAAATTAAATCTGAATTATTCAAATGTATTGCAAAAGAGTAGCACAATACAGCAATAAATTCTCCTTCTAAGGCAATACAAACCTCACCATGTACCGTTTTCATAAAAGACTTGAATAACCCCCACTTGGAGCTTCACTTCCTCATGTATAACTAAATCACGGAACTGTGTTTTGTACGGAATCCAACTAAGTTGCACCGTTTATAACTTATGAATTATATAGCTTTTTATAATTTGGAAAGCGTCAAAATGAAATAAACATGAAATTCTTAGCTCAAAAAAAAAAAAACCGCAGGTTAAAAAGAACCAAATAGAACAAACAAACTTCCGCCTGCTGAAAAAATAAAAAGAACAAACAAATTTCTGTTTTTATTATAGCAATTACACTCTCTGTAGTCTCTCACAGTTCTAAATACTAATGGTTGAATGATGGAATAAACAGTCCTCCCCTAATTGGAGCTGAAAAAGAAACTAAGCAAGTAAGAAAAGCCATTTTAGTGTAGAAACTAACTGGTCTTTCTTTTTTTCCCCGTCCAACAAAGCAACAAAAGTAAAACGACCAAATTATAAGGGTTTTGCTACATATATAACAATAGTATATAACTCCATCCTTTTAGCCTCCTTCCATCCTTTCAATTCTAATCATAGTTTATAGATTCTACACTTGAACATCCTAGATTACAATGAGGCCTTTAAATCTCATCATGTTTGACCATACTTTATTCTCCATATGGGATTTAAACATTGTTTTTCCTCTAGAATCTCTGAGTTTCTCTTTGGGTAATAGTGTTGCAAGATCTTCTTATAACTCTCCACCTAAACTCGATATGTTAAGAGGATCCTGATACCAAAATTGAGAGGTAAAAAAAAATGATTGCGTGCATGGGGCTATACAAAACAACACCGGAGAAAGAAATGAAGGCTTAAAGAGAATTGAAACTAAAATAACCCGTTGGCATAGGTAATTAACGTTGGAAGAATGGAGGGTGTCACATGAAAGACAAGAATCAATGAAGTAGCCGAGGATGCCTGCCAGCAAAAAACACAAAACCAGACAAGAGCACAAAGAACTCATTGAATGGATATATATTGCTAGGCAAGCCATCCCTGGCTACCACACATGGCTCTATGTCTCCATGAAACACCCTCTCCTCCTCTTCTTCTGCTCTCTATCTATCTGTCTATAACACATTTGATGCCTCACCCTGCATTAGCAGACTCCCATATTTATACTATGTTAATTGCCTTCCATTCATTATGAATGTGAGAAGAATATGTTCTATGGCAAAGAGGGACCAACCACGTTGATATCATCAATGGCAGAGTCAACCATATTGTTCGTTTTGACATTCACTTCTTCCCCCCAACCCCCCCAATTCCATATTATTAATCTCTTGGGGACCTCCATCCCCATCATTATTTCTTTCTTCCTCATCATTTTCATGTTATATCTAACAATTCTATATATCTACCATAACATTACTATAAAGCCACTGCTTGCTAGCATCCCAATGATTCCCTTTTCACACTATCAATTTCATTTGTATAATTGGAACTTACAAAAAGCAAACTTATATATATTCTTACATATCTACAACAAGGTGAGATTCCTTTGAGCATGAAACAGAGAAGATCAGTGTTGCTTTAAATGATCTTCTTTGAAACAATTGTTGGCTAACACAAGATTTTGATTTAGAGAATTCAAACCCGCCTTTTATGTATAAATCTGAACCTTATTTCATCAATCCTGCTAAGTATAACATGTGATGAGGGATTACTACTACTACTACTACTATTACTATTACTACTACTACTATTATTGTTACCACTACTACTACTATTATTATACGTGATGAATTAATTAAACGTGGATGATAAGCTCATATTTAATGGTCCTTGATAAGCAAGCCAAAAATACTATTTTGTCCTCCTCCATATTCGTTCACATGGGCATAGGTTTTCCAGAATCATCAAATGTCTTAACAAAAAGCAGTAACAGAGACATCTTCCTCCTTCATCGTCATTTTATGGGCTCATTATTCTTATAAACTGACGCACGTGAATACCTAGTTCTTTATTTTTATTTTTGGGGCCAGAACATGAAATACCCATCTCAAACTTTCATTTAACTCAGCAAAATCTCGTCTATCTTTAGAAATTATTTAATTTGAATTTTAAAAATGACTTGGAATTGAATACTAAGTAGTTTTTCTTCAATGATTACATGTTGAGATGTGTACGTGTGTGTGTATTTTTTTGGGTCGAAGTAGATGTGTATGTTAACAATAAAATCGAAGTGTTAACCACTACCTCCGATTCTAATTATAAGAGTTAATTGATTAATTTGAGAGATTAAGAAAAAAAATTAAGTTAGTTATTTATAATAAATATGTGTTGTCTTTCCTAAAATATCGTTACTAATCAAGTATATTGGCTAGAACTGCTATTGTTAGAAGGACTATATTGGAAAAATGCATAAATATGAGAGATAAAGTAGATTGAAGTCTTATATTTAGGACCAAAATAAAAATTAAATAAATCTTATATTAAAAACCGGATGTAGTACTTTCTAGCTACTAGAGTCCCAAAAAAAAGGACAGATTTTTGTTTTTGGGGGTGTGGAAAGAAAGTTACTGGGGTTGACTTAAAATTTGTGGTCACACGCATAAGTTTTGAAGGAAAGAAGCAAAGCAAGCAGAGGACCATAACTAGGGACAGTAGTGCATTATGCATTGTTCCAAGCTTCCTCAATAAGGAAGCATATTTCAGGGATCAACTCTTCACATGCTTTTCACTTTACAACGTCCCTTTTATTTTCCTCTAAAACACTTACCCGTCAATATGCACACAAATTAATATCATTTTAAGATAAAGATGAATTCAGCACCCTGATGTTATTATTAGATGCATCCAACACTATAATCTTATTTATTATACATTCAATATCCTGTTTTTAATTTTTTCCAACTAACACCATAATCTTATTTATAGTGTATCTGTGCTAAACGTGACCCCAAAAAAAAATAACATGGAGTGTTGGATGCATTGACCAAGATATTAGATATACTTGAAAAATAAAAAGAAAAATTGCAATAAGGTTCCATCAAAATAATTAAATAAAAAAAAGTATCTTAAAATCATCAAATTAATCTGAAGCTCCAAGGAATATCATTGCAAGAGTTTTTATTTGTTTAATTACTAATTTTTTTTAAAAAGTATACATTGATAATTAAAAGAGCAGTTGTCAACAATTTAAAGTATAACGATTAATAACTATTACGACAGGTATTAATAACATATTTTCTCAAAGCATCACAAAAATGTAATGTGTGAGTTGTCAATATCTACCGTGATAGTTGTTAATTGTTACACCTTAAGTTGTCAACGACTGTACTTTCAGTTATCAATTTATACTTTTAAAAAAAAAGATAACAGCAATTTGATTATCAAACAAATGGAATCTCTTGTAATGACATCCTTTGGGATTTCAGATTAATCTAATGATTTTAAAAGACTTTTTTGCATTTAATTCTTTTACGTAGGATCTTATTACAATTTTCCTAAAATAAAATTAGGGTATTGGATTCACCTTACCTAAAATTAAATTATGGAGATCGTTAGTTGTGGTTAAAAAAATATATATACTACCTCCAATCCTAATTATAAGATCTCATTTGAAATATAAATGAGATCTTATAATTAGTACCGAAGGCAATATACATATAAAATTGATATAGATGCAAACTGGAGAAATAGAAGATCACTTGAGTAATAATATCTTCGTTTAACTCAGCATATGAACCTTTTTTTCCTCCTTCAAAAATAGGTGCATTAGAAGAGTAAATATTTATTTATTATTGATTAGAAATTACCAAGAATGGAATTGTAAATCTTACATCAAATAACACTGAATCGTGCATGCCAGAGGTAACTTGCCAGCCGAAATCTTCTGATCTGATAAAAGGGTCCACATAACTTGCATTAAAAGAGAAAAAGGAAATGAAAAACTGGCGGGAATTAAAATCTGATAGGTTTCAGGATCAACAGTGCCTCAAATAACTGCGTCTATTTCTCAACCATATCGAAGACTTTTCTCTTTCCTTTCTTCTTTTCTCGCGCTTCCCCTGCAACAGGCTCACACCATGAAAACAACCGACAACTCCGATCCAATCACTCTCTCTGATCAGCTTTCCTCTCTTCTCGGCGAAATCCCTGCCATTCTTCACTTGAAAGGTAAATGGTCCCTCATCGCTTCAAAACTCCATCTTCTTCGCTCTCGACTTGCCGATTTCTCCTCCCACTTCCCCCACTCCTCCTCCTCCAACTCACTATCCAGAGACCTTCTTCTCTCCATAGCCCAGACGCTCAACGATGCCGTTTCCCTCGTCAAGGATTGCCAGCTCCCCACCTTGTCCCACGGCAAGCTCAAGACCCAGAGCCTCATTGATTCCCTCCTTGCCAGCCTCGATCGCCACCTCTCAGACTGCGATGTTCTCCTCAAAAGTGGTGTCCTCCGGGACGATGCCATTTCAACTGCGTCTAACAGGGACGCTGTTCGTTCTGAATTAAGGAATTTGACCGCTCGTTTGCAAATTGGGTCCTCTGACTCTAGGATTTTCGCTATGGACTCCTTTCTGGGTTTACTACAAGAGGATGATAAGAATGTGATGATAGCTGTGGCACAGGGTGTGGTTCCCTTGCTCGTTCGCTTACTGGATTCGAGCTCTTCGGAAATGAAGGAGAAGATCGTCGCCGCGATATCCAGAGTTTCAATGGTGGATAGCATCAAGCATGCATTAATTGCCGAAGGTTTGGTTCTTTTGAATCACCTGCTTCGAATCCTTGACCATGGAAGTGGGTTTGCCAAAGAGAAAGCTTGTACTGCCCTCCAAGCTCTAACGTTCTCGAGGGAGAACGCGAGGGCAATCGGTTCTAGAGGTGGAATTTCTTCTCTATTGGACATTTGCCAAGTTGGCACGCCTGGTTCCCAGGCTTCTGCAGCTGGAGTTCTTAGAAATCTTGTGGTTTACCCTGAAGTCAGAGTTCATTTCGTCGAGGAAAATGCGGTTGTTGTTCTGCTCGGGCTCGCTTCTTCGGGTACTGCAATAGCCCAAGAAAACGCAATTGGTTGTTTGTCTAATCTAATTTCTGACGACGAAAGCTTGAAATTAACGAGTGTTAAGGAAAGAGGGATTGAGTGTCTGAAGAATTTCTGGGACTCAGTTTCGTCCGTTCAGAGTCTTGAAGTAGCAATTGAGTTATTGAGAAGCCTGGCTTCGAGTCCGTCGATTGCCGAAGTTCTTATTTCAGATGGGTTTGTTCAGAAACTGGTGGGCGTGTTACATTGTGGTGTACTAAGGGTGAGAATTGCAGCCGCTCGAGCTGTTTATACTCTAGGGTCCAGCACCACAAAGGCGAAGAAAGAGATGGGCGAATGTGGATGCATTACTCCATTGATACAGATGTTAGATGGCAAAGCTGTTGAAGAGAAAGAAGCAGCTGCAATGGCATTATCAATACTCATGTTCTATACAGGCAATAGGAGGATTTTCCGGAAGGACGAGAGGGGTATAGTGAGTGCTGTTCAGCTGTTGGATCCTTCAATAGAGAATTTAGATAAGAAATACCCAGTTTCCATTCTGGTCTCACTTGTGCATTCCAAGACCTGTAGAAAACAAATTGCAGCAGCTGGTGCTAGTGTACATACACGAAAACTTGTAGAGATGAATGTTGAGGGATCTAAGAAACTCTTGGATAGCCTTGGTCGCGCAAAGGTATGGGAAGCATTAGCAAGATCATTCGGATGAAACTTTTCTTCAAATTCCAAACTATGGATAAAGGAGCAAGAGTTGATTTGTTGATCTGTATGTATGATAATTTATTCAGTTTATCTTTCTTCCCTTTTTTTTTTCCACATGTTAATAATTTGTGTTCACTTCTCTTTTGTTTATAAACTTGATGTAGAATGTGACCTAATCAAATTTGAGTTAATCTGTATACATGGAAATATTCACTTACGTTCTAGACAGTTTTTGTTGATATGACAATTACAATGCGTAGAACCTACTGAGTCTGACCTGAAAGCAGATCACAGTCAGGATACATTGATGGTGGAAGAGGTGTAAGTAAATTCTGATATGCTTTGCAGTCTGCTTTAAATGCTTTTACTTCTATCACATGATAGAGCATTGGTTCAGAAAAGAATGCAGTTTCCCTCAAGCTAGGTTGCCAGAAGGAAAATAGCATATCTAATGTAATTATGATTAATTCTGATTATCGATGTTGGCCTACTAATGCAAACCTTGAGTGAAAAAACCTATTTCTATATTTTGAACATTGATGATCTTGGTTATTGCCTTCTTGAGTAGATACTTACCACAAAGGCCACTTGACCCTGATCGTCCTGACAAATTGCCTGGTCGTGTCCTTTTCTCTGGCTTTATTTTAATGAGTATTTGATTAGATTATTAGAAGGGTTGGTCAGCGTGGAAATTTCATTGTAGTTTTCTGAACGACCTCCACTCAATTTTCAGTGAGCACCATGTGCATTTGTTCTCGATCATGTGCATCTTGTCTATGGGTTGCCCAAAAATTGCATTTCTGTTGGCTGTTGCCTTAGCAAGGACCTACCTAAACCCGTTGGCTCTTCCCTGCTATGGCTTCAAATTATCATCATCATCATCCTTTTTGAAAGATTATCTGTTGGAATGCTCTGCTCTTCTTCCTCACCCATATAGATGAACCAAATTTGACAGAGTACATGACAACTGCAGCTGGCGAATCTTTATAAATTCAGTGTGTAGTTCCGAGAAATTCAGTGTTTCCTGCGTGAAAATTTTGTGAAATAAGGCGAAAAAGAAATAAGAAACCTTCGATTTTATGATTGAATGTTAGTAATGCATGTCGTCTTCTTCTTGTTTTTTTTTTGCTCTTTAAGTTTAAAATTAACAGATTTTTAAAATGTTGCACATGTAAATTCTTTAAAAACGTAGATTGTCAATTGCAAAAGATCATTTATAGTTCGAAAACAAAAGGTAGTTGAGAACAGGGGAGATCAGATCATGACGTTCTTGGCTGCAAAAGCAAGTAAAATCAAGTGGGAAGCTAATAATTGAAATCTGATTTGCCCTATATGATGAAGAAAACATGCCTACAAGGATGGGGCCAAAGTGTCCCTGTTTGGTAAGTTCACAGGATTACTGTGCGGTGACCAAATAATTAGATGTTGCTCTCCTATGAATTATTTATATTTATCTTTGCTCACCCTCTCCGTCTCCAAAATTTCTCTTTCATGACAACTATTATTTATTCCCATCCGAGGCTATGCCAAAAGCTACCAATTTTTTTTTTAGTTTAAGCCCCAAACCTGTTCATACTTTGCCTGCATATCTTAACAGGGGGAATGTAATTCTTGTTTAGTAAGAAACATATGCTCCAATTATTCAATCTTTTAACTTTATCTGTCTCCAAAGGGTTCGAGTTGTTATTTATTAGTTTTTGAAACGTGTAACGTGTGTCTGCCTTTGTTTTGATGATTAAAAATCATGTTGGAGCTGATAATCTAGTTAACCAATAATGAGCTGCTAATCAATGCTTGTTCTGGATCACGATTGGGATTTTCAAAAATATTTATTTATTTGAGACAAAAAAATTTTAATATATTTACTTGTATTCTATAAATCATAATTAAAAAAATTGTTTTTAAAAGATTCTGTTATTGTCTCAAACAAAATCTCACTCAGGGAGGGAAAAACAGAAATGAAAGATGTCTGAATATTTTGAAACATGGATTCATTTCTGCTTGTTGCTAGCAACGAAAAACTACCACTTTTCAGTTTTCATAATATGGTCACAAGTATTGCTGAGACTCGTGGTGTGCTAGCATTGCTATGTCCACACGCAAAATAATGAGAGGTTTCTGCTTTCTTGGTTCACTGATTCTCCCTTTCTACTGTACTGTACTTGAAGATTCCTTCAGATTTTTGTGTTGCAGCCTTGTGAATGCGACGAGTGATGATGGAAGCTGTTCACCAATATTCATAACTATCTTCATGGGGCTCCCAAGTCCCAACTTTGCAACAACGTGATTGAATGATTAATCAGGACCAGCTTCACTGTTCAATTAAATTAAAAAAAAATTCTAAATTTCATTATTGGCCCTTGTTCCGCCAAGCCGTCAACTTCTTGTGGTTTTTTTTTTGGGCCAGCGATTATAAGGCAGGTGTTGTATTGAAAGATTTTTAGAAAATTCTCAAAGATCTAAATTTCAATCGATTAAATTAAAAAAAAAATTTAAAGAGTGAGAATACTTATGACTCCTATTTGTCTTCTTTTTCCTCACTCCACCCCCCAAAAAAAAATTCCCTCTACCTATAAATAATTTATTTTTTCTTATCTTAACATATAATTAAGAAAAATCAGTAAGTTAATTATCCAAAATAGATGTGTGTTAACTTTTTTAAAGTACTTCTCATTTTACTCATTAAGAATATGAAGACTATTCTTAATATATACAATCAATAAAAGTAATTTAATGGAAAAAAAGTAAAAGTAATTTAAGAAAAAATAATAAATAAGAGAGGCAAAGGATATTAGGGTTTTTTTTTTAATCTTCTATGTATCAGAAAAGCTGTCATTTATCAACTTGTTTTTACAACAATTAGTTGACTTAATTAAAGCTTGAAAGTTATTAATAATGATCATTTTATTCAAAAAATAAAAATGGGAGGGCCCAAACGGCATTGTTTTTGGCATGGCTTTAGAACGGGGACTGGAGGGGGGGGAGAGCCGAACCCCGTCCGTTGAGGAAAACTGAAGGGGTGTTTGGGAAACTTAAAACTATGGTTTCAGAAACACTTTTTCGCAAAACGAGATAATCTCCTCCACATATTTACTTCGTAATCCGTAAAAGCACTTCTGAAACCATGGTTTAGTTTTTATCCAAACACCTCTGAAAAGGCTGCGTTCAACTTGATGAATCGACGAAACGTTTATAGACTCAAACGACTTGTCGTTTGACGCTTGTTCTCGCTAGACATGAAATGGGATCTGCAAAATCTCCTGCTTCTCCGTCTCTCCTTCCTCTCACTGTCAAGTTAGAGAATTGAGCCATCCCTTTTCGGATTCGAGTCTTGCCGCGCTGCCTACGGTGTAACTGGTGCGTTACCTGTAAGTCTTCTTTCAAGTTACATGTGTTTTTTTACTTTTTTTCTTTTTGGCCCCCTCGTTTCCTAATTATCTGATTGTACGTATTCTTAGCTTTCTAGCTATACTATTTGTCTGCTTTTGACCCTTGTTTTAGCGCCCTAACTTTAGTGCAAGTGACGTACGGTATGGTTATGCTTTATTTGTTTTTACTTGCAATACAACATTCATTTCAGTTCCATTTAGGGGAAGTTAGAAATTCAATATTAGATTTTGACTCGTAGATTGCATGCATTTTTTGTTTTAGCTTATGCACGAGTTTGCAAATTGCAAAATTTCAGAGCTACGCATGTTATATGGTTTGCTAGGGCTATACTGGTGTGCAACAGTGCTGGAGAGTTAGAATAAGGCTTTAGGGATTGATTTCAAGCTTTCCCAGAATCCCATTCGACCATAAGTTCAGTGGCTAGCACAGCAGTGTGACCACAACTTCAAATATTATCTGATTGTATTTGTGTGATTGTCATACCTATATGTTTGCCTCCCTTATGCCCAGGGTTTGTGAGTGTTCCCTACTTGGATTCTTGATGAAAGGTTAAATTTGAAGGTTTCTGCTCTATTTATATTTTATTGGACTTGAATTTGTTTAAAGTTTTGTGTCTTTTTTCTTTCTTCTTTTCTCTTTGTTATCTTTTTTGTTTCGTCCAAAAACTGTCTCAACCAATATATTATTGATTGACTATATTGCATGCTGTTGCTATTCAAATTTGTTAATTGAATATGTCTTTCAGCTGTAAATTTTGATTGGGACTTCTTGCACCAACTTCTCCATCTGTAGCTAAATCCCCTGGATCCAAGATGGATGATGGACACCAGCGTGAAAATGGAAGACAAAAGGTGGACTACTACAGAGGAGCTCATTCCCTGGTAAGTAGAATGGTTAAATTTTTCTATGTTTTTCTTAGCCATGTTTTTCTGGAATAATTTCATTGGATTGGAGTTAATTGTGCAGTGGAGCATGGCTCCCCAGCCTCAGGTAAAGGAACCAAATGCCCTGGTTATGAATAAGAAAATTATGTCTGTTATTGCCGAGAGAGAAGCAGCAATTCGAGAATGTAATGCAGCTTTATCTGAAAAGAATGAAGCCTTGGCTGCTCGAGATGAAGCCCTTCGGCAGAGGGACGAAGCGCTTCTGCAGAGGGATAATGCCTTGATGGAACGGGATAATGCTCTTGCTGCCCTTCAAATCCAGCATAATGCTACCAACTTCTCATTGGGTTGTGGCTCTCAACGTGGATCAAAGCGGATGCACCATTCCTCAAATCATTTCAGTCAAATGGCAGAAGGTACTTATAGAACAAAGGATTTGACCACAACTAATGCCCTTCCGGTAACTATAGTCTCTTCTGAAGCAGGCAAGTATAATCAGGCCAAGAGAACAAGGGAGAACAAGGCAGATTCTTCTAAGGCGTCAAAACCACCAGGCAAAGGGAAAAAAGTGAGTGAGGACTTGAATAGGCGGGCTTCTTCCGAAGTGACAAAGATCAAGTCTGAGTGGGATAAACAGGATGTTGGATTGAATTTGATTCAATTTGATGAAAATACCATGCCAGCCCCTGTTTGCACATGTACTGGAGTACCACGGCAATGCTACAAATGGGGGAATGGTGGGTGGCAGTCATCTTGTTGTACCACCACCTTGTCCATGTATCCGCTACCGCAGCTTCCAAACAAGCGACATGCACGAGTTGGAGGGCGAAAGATGAGTGGAAGTGTATTTACAAGACTTCTTAGCAGGGTGGCCGCTCAAGGCCGTGATTTATCTATACCATTGGATCTCAAGGACTACTGGGCCAGACACGGAACAAATCGCTACATCACCATCAAGTAACCTTTAAAACCTCCTTCCACTTGGAGTTACGTTCCACTTCTTTCTCCTCTTCCTGGCCTTTAACTGAAATTGTGTCTTGACACGAACGATATGCTTGAATGTTTGAAAAGCAAGGGAATTTTTCAGTACAAGGCTGGTTCTCTTGCTTAATTTTAAATTACTAGTATAGCTTGACCCAACTTATATTCCTAAATGTGGATATCTGTAAGTACCATCTCTGTAAATGCAGTAGCCTAGATGGCCAAAGTGTGAGCTGTTTTGCATTCTTACTGTCCGTTATAAATCTTCCCTTTCTCAGCGGCTGTGCCTTTAATCTTACAGATTATTGGCAAAGATAGCCAGTTGAAGAAGTGTTTATTTCTTTCTTTCTTTTTGAATATTCTTCTTCTTTCTTGCTTCGATTTTTTTTTTTTTGGTGTTTTGTTTTGGGGGAGTAGCAGATTATTGTTTCGGAGTAGTTGGCTTAGGTTCTATAAATAGTTATGCCCCCACCCAATATTGCACGCCATGTATCTCCCGTCGCATTGATAGGCTGTGGCATATAAAACGCTTTCTTGCTTGGCGCTGATTTTTCACATTCATGTAAGTTATTATATATATACCAGATTTAAAATAATATTACCTCTGGTCTTTAATATAAGATCCCGTTTGACTTTTATATTAGTCCTAAATATAAACCCCCAATCCATTTGTCTCTCATATTTACTCAATTTTTTTCAAGATAGTCTTTTTAATAATTATAGTTTTAACCAACATACTTGATTAGTAAGGATATTTTAAGAAAGACAATACTTATTTATTACAAATAACTAACTTAACTTCTTTTCTTAATTTCTTCAAATTAGTCAACTGACTCTTACAATTAAAACCGTAGGTAATATAAAGAAGAGAAAGATGGTTGTTGGAAGAAAAAACAGGGACTTTTTACATCTCTCTCTCTCTTTATATATATATATATATATATATATATATATATATAAAATCTCTGAACGTATCACTGCGTCCAATTTGTTAATTTTAAATTTGATATCCCTCTATGTAGTTATACTAATTTCCGTGGATTACCTATCTCTCCATCTCCAAGGCTTCCTTTTCAGATTCGGCTCATTCATTTCCACTTCCTCTACACCTTCGCAAGAGAACAAAAAGGAGCACGCTTCATGCTAAAATTTTGAATCGAGTATGGACAGAAACTAACATGATTTACAAGTTGTGGGGAGAATAGCCCCAAGCCGTCGAGATGAAATGAATTGGATATGTACAATATCTACATTTGTATATACAATAACCACTTTGGGAGGGAAACAGCGTAATTTCAGCTGCCGACGTCAAAGTACTTTGGATTAGAAGGAAAATGATATTCCACATGTAACTGCAACGTAAACAAAGAGAAGGCCATGATTAGATGATGAGACTTCACATAAAAACAGAGAGAATTTGAATTTAATGCGTGAATGCTTCTACGACTACTTCTCAAAAACTTGCACATACCTTGCCCTCATCTGCATCTGAATGACGTTGAGGAAACACTACCCTCATATCGTCATACAAGTAGAAACGCCTTTCATCTTCAATGTCTGCAATATTTTTCGCTTCTGCAGACACAGGATCAGATTTGCACTTATGAACAGCCCTTGAACGTTTCCTAGGCAAAGGGCACAAGAAGCGGAGGTGAAGAGCATAAAGCAGAACTCCATTGTTACACTCCTTGGTGTGTTTGCAGCTCCCATATCCATCTTTATCTCTACTGGTAGTATTTGAGATCATTGAGGACTTAGCATCCTCTTGTATCTCAGAATCTCCTTGGTATTCTTTAGCCGTCAGAGAATTCGAGCCAGGTGACGTCAAACTAATCTTTTGCCGCAGGAATGTCTGGTTCAGAAGTTCACGAAAAAAGCAAATCAAACTATGGTACCAAAATTTCACCCTTCGAGGGATAGGAAAACCCCTTTGCAATTTACACGGAAAAAAACATCGTCACATGTGGATCGTATTTAACAACAATGTCAGGTTTCAATTTAAATTGAAACGAAATAGCTCCAGCCTAAAAGTTTTGATTTTAATCATGTAAGGCATGCCCATGACAGGCGGGGTTTAATTCTTTTCACATGAGAAGTTGCACATCCGCATTCCATATATGAAGGTTGAGGAAGATCATTGTGAAACAAAGAAATGGATATCTTCGTATGCCCCTCAGTTTAAATTTTGCAATTTTCATCAAAGAGCAGAAAGCATGTCAAATGCAAATGGATGATTGCATGCTGTCAAAATTTGAACGTAAAATTCGTTACCTTAGAACCAGCTGGCATGTCGCACAAATCATAATTGCAAAAGAAGGTGTGAATGGGAGTCTTTTCTGGATTGCTGAGGACCTGCAGTTACAAGCTCAGTCATTTTTCACACGCAAGTCTTGTACACCATGCACAATTCCACACATGAAAAACATGTAGCTAAGAAGCTACTGGTGAAATTCTAACCGTTTCTACCCAGCATTACACGTCAAAACTAACCAATTATCTATCAGTATAACTTGTTGGCCCAGCAGTAATAATGATCCTGAATGCATCTTGTGTGACGTCATTTAAAACCATCCGTCACTGCATGAATAAATTAGTGGAACCGTAATTCACCCTACAGATCAGCAAAATCTATGTTGAGAGTAGCCTCATTTACCTCATCCAAATTCCAATTTTATCATGATTCTTGTCATGTTGATAGCAATATATCGTAAAAACCTCATTATGCTTTCATTTCTCAACTAATTAAGAAACTGAGAGGTTTAGTAGCGAAGTACCAGTTGAATACGTCCTTTCACGGGTATACGTATGCGGCTCTTTTCAGTTCGGGATTCATCCATTTTAATGGTCCTCTGAACTTTGCTTACTCTAGAATTGCTTGATATCAGCTTTCCTGAAATGTTAATGGATGAATAATACAACAGGTACTTATCTCCATCCACACTTGTTACTGCAAATGGAATTTTCTGTGATCGTGGCGAGAAGTTTCCCCCAGTTACATTCAGCACAGCAAGGAAGCCATCAATTCTCTGTAAATTGGTGGTAACATTTACGACTAAAATAAAAAGATGAACACTCAAAAATTACCAAATTCATTATAAATAAATACAGAGCAAAACAAGATCGTAAATAGAAATAATGTCAACCTGACTAACTTTCCCAGAGAGTAAACGACCAGACAACAGGGATTCCTCAAATGAACCAACTAAGGACCTTCTTACTGGGACTCCACTTAAAGTTCTAAACTTGCCATGCCGAGGAGGAAAACTTGCACCATGCGAACATTCTTCTATGCCACTGTTATCTTCAAAAGTAAACATGTTGAATGTATGGTGCAGATTGTTAGAGTCTTGCAGTAAATTACTTGGCGTGCTAAAGTTGTCCACCTTCTGAGCAGATAAAAAACCTGCAACAGTTCTATCAAGTGAAAGTTCCATGTCTTTTAAATTGACATTGTCATCATCCAACATAAATGTAACATCCCCACGTTCTCCGCTCAATTTCGTTCTTTCAGAAAATTTTGGACCTAGAGGAGATAAAGGGAAGGATGGTGGCGTCGACACTTTTTTGTGAGGTATAGACAATGCTGCTGTTTGGGAACTTATGCTGCTGTTTCGCTTCCCGTCTTTGCAAAGTGAAAGGTCACGATTGGGTAGGACATGGTTTTCTCTAGAGTCAGTATAGGATAAATTTGTTGCGCCCAGAAAGCAAAATTCAGACGAAATAGGGGAGTGAAGATAGCCAGAGTCTGCAAAATGAACCTTCTTATACTCTTGCAGAACAGGATCCTTATAACCATCATCACCACCCTTTGAACAACTCCTATATGTGCTAATGTCAATGTCCAGAGGATCACCTTTAAAATGATCAGCAAGAAGCATCCCATTCAAGGGCGACAATAATCGCTTTTTGACATGTGAACCGGTAGCCTCACTTGCGTCTCTTTTGACATTAAAAATGGTCGAGGAATAGCCATTTCCACCCCCATCATTATTAGCAGGGGAAGATAATGCCCTTAATTGAAAACCTACAGTCCTTGAAGCAGGTACATGCATAGTATGACGCCCAGCCTTGGCAGACAACCTGCCAATTCGTTCCATGGGGTTGAGCTTTAATTTTTGCAGGTTGGAGCTACCATCATTACGCATATTTAAGAATTGTGATTCCTTTGAAAGCTCTGCAACTTTTTTCCTCTCAGTGGTGAGCATGTCAAGTTGCAGGCAATTACTTAGGTCTTCTCCAGGTAAGGCATTGAAATCATAGCTGCTCAAGTTGGCAATTCTTGGCGGAGTTTGCACAAGAGTGCCTAGTGATGCAGCCACCTCTTCGGCAACACAGCCTGAAGGCATATGTGGTAACCCCATTTCTATATTAAGAACACAGTACTTCAAAAGTTTTGAGCTGAACTTTCCTTCTTTACTCACTCTCTTCTATCAACACCTTGTTTTAAGCACATTGATGCACAAGAATTGGTAATTTCATTTACCGTCTGTACCAGGAAAACCAAGCAGACCAACCCCCGCGCAGCCGAGAATGACCTAACCCCCTCCAGTGAAATAAGTCATTCTTACTAAGCAGACTCAGACACATCATTCCATGTCAAAAGGCAACCACCATTATCAAACCAGATGCGATCTCCTGCCGAATTATTGCGAAAAAAAATGTTTATTTACCAGTTCTGTTTGGCTGGTTTAGTAGTCAGTACAAATAAATTATTTATAAGAAAAATCAGCAAATTTCAAAATTCAGTCCTCCACTTTATTATATATTAGTAAGAAGTAGATTGATGGAGTTAGACATAATTCAAAAACTTCGAAATTAGTTGCCTAAGTTCAACCATATTAAGACTCGAACAGCAATCACAAGGAAAACTAAATAGAAACGTCCGTAAACCCAGACAAGTACTGTGATTCGTTGTTCGGAAAAATTGGGTTTTCCATCATCTGGAATGCTATACATCCAAGGATGGATAAGTGATAATGCGTCCCCGCGTTACTCCAAAATCGGAAGAAGAGCAAAGATGAAAGCAACAAGGGGGCCAGGGGTGCGATGAGAAGACGCACCAGAGAAAACGCAAATTAAGCGACAATCCAGAGAAGGGGCAGAATCTAGCCTCTGGAAATCACAAAGAAATCGAATCAAAGGGATTCAAACGGGATCAAGAAGAAGAAAACGATGTTGGTTTGATTGACCAGTGAAGGCATATCCCATCTCTCACGTAAAACGTGGGAGCGATAAAATGGAGGGAGGGAGGATTTGGAGGAAGCGTGGGAAGAAGAAGAAAGGAAGGGAATGTGGGACATGGCTTAGCCTCAATTTTCTGGTTGTCTGCGTTTGTACCTTTGAAAACCACTGCTTGCGAGAAGGAAACCACATATCCGCTTTGTGTTGCCATTTGCGCCACTCTTTTCACTTCACGTATCCATCAATGTGGATCCTTACAATGGGCCAAGAGAACATGGATTATTGCAATAATCCATACAATATTTGTTAATTACGAATCTTTAGACTTTGACCGGGCTATATTTAATTAGACGTTAGGCATGCAACTTATGGGATTACTAAATTATATATATTTAATTGGTTGCTTAAATACAAACTCAGGTTAGATTTCATGTGAATACAAAAGATGTTTCTAGACTCTCAATTAAGTTTAACAATAACAAATAGTCATAAAAAAAAAAAAAAAAAAACTCGCACTGCAAAAGTAAATAGACAACAACAGTTTTTCTTTCATGTTTTGTTATCTTTTAATTGAAAAAAAAAGAAAGGGAAGCAACTTCTTTAGCAGCCTACGTAACTTCACGAGAGAATGATCAGCTGATGTGCTCATTTGGTGCACATTATGACAAGTATCAGATGGTAGTGGTTATAAAATAAGATCTAAATTGTTGTAATTCAATTTCAACCGTTCAAATTCAAGACTTCAAATATATGACTTCGTAAACAGTAAATTCTTCATGAATGAATATTACTCTTCCGGTCCTTAATATAAGACCTATTTAACTAATTTGATTACATTAAAAAAGTTAGGTAAGTTAGCTAATTATAAAAAATGTGACACATTTTTTCTAAAACAACATAATCATCTTTTTTAATATTTCTTCTCCCTCTTCTACTTGATTATGATTGAGAGAATATCTATAGGGATAATTTAGAAAAAAATTAATAAATATAAAAAATGGGTTTTATATTTAGGACCAAAACCAACTCAACAATTAGATCATATATTAAGAACCAGACGAGTATTAAATAAGTAAACATCATATAAGGACATTTAAAAGAAAATCAACATTGTTTACTTATACATAAGGATGGAGGGAAGATATAATAGTGCCTGCTACCGCTAATTTTACATTTTATTTTCTATGTTTTTTTTAATAAAATAACTTCACAAACAAGAGAAGATCTTGCTCCAAATGCAACTGCGAGGAAGGAGACTTGTGTTTCTCCATAACAAATTCTAAAATTTTTTGCTCCTTTGCAATGAATATAAGAAGAGGAGACTTCTGGAGTTCTTTTTTGCCGCTATCCCGGGCGACAGACAAAATAATACTACTTTTGATATTTAATATAAAAATTTATTTAATTTTTTTTTAAATATAAAATTTCAATCCGTTTTATTTTTCATATTTATTTATTTTTCAAAAATAATTCTTAGTTTTAACCCAAAAAAAAACTTGATTAGCAAGATTTTTTTTAAAAAAAAAACATTTATTTATTACAAATAACTTAACTTATTTCTTTAATTTATTTAAGTTAATCAACTAATTCTTATATTTGATACTAGAAATAGTATTAAGAGAAGTTGAAAATATCAAAATAATAAATGGAAATAAATTTATTGCTTACTTTTCTTTTGGGGGGAGGGTGCTTTCCAATAAGAACACTGGCGGGTCATAACGGAGACGAGGGTGTCCCTGGAAACTGTACAGCAAAGGGATTCCATCCTAAACATACAAAATCTAAGGATCCCCATTGTACATCATACCGCAAAAACTATATTATCAAATGAACGCAAAAAAATGGCAGCACTACGAAAGGGAGAAAATTTATTTTAAGAAAAAAAAAATCCAGGCCCCCTACCTCGAAATGCCGAGAACAGCAGAGACTGATTATTTGCCCCAAAGTAACCCAACAAAAAAAAAAAAAAACCATTTACAGGCCTACTTGATGAATTGATTACTTGAACGGACGCTTGAGTCTCCATGATGAATCTGTTTTCTTTGTTTTCTTACCTCTGTAAGGTCCTGAAGCAGCATGACCTTCAACAGATCCTTTTGGTTTTGAATTAAATACTGAGGAGCCAAAGGAAGCATCAGGTTCAGTGGCACCAAATGAAACAGGTCCCTTGTGAGATGCATCCAATGGATAACCAACGGCACCGTCTTGATGAGGCGGTGGGAATTTCTCGCTCTTACTTTTTGCATTTGCATGTGTCACAACTCTCCACCTCTGAAATTCAGTGAGAAACACGTGACATGTGATGTTGTTCCGGGTATCAAATTGGACAATATACTCAGGTCCACAGCTCAATTTACCATGACTGATCAGATAAAACAATGCGACTCACGAAGTTTAATGACTTTAAGATTGAAATAAAATAAAAGGACTCATTAAACCAAAAAAAAAAAAACTTAAACTGCCGGGATAGCCTTGGATCATAATTTATTGCTGAGGAAGACAAAATGACAAGTCTCCATGAAAACTATAGGTTGAAGGAAGAGGAATTCAAAACCTCATAAAAGCATATCTAAGTGAGCCGAGGCCATGTTGGGGGGAACATAAAATAATAATGAAAACATATGTAACGTACATCTAAGTTTGATTGGATCTCTGCATTGGCTTCCGGAGCAGGAATTGCCCGACCACGCTCACGTACTCTGACTCTTTTGGCACCATCAACTGCATTAGTTTTCCCATTTAGAGCTTTTTGTCTGAAAATGAAACAAGTGCTACATCGTCAGCACCCAGACGAAATCAGTACCAGAAGTTATCAAACACGTGAAAAGAAAAAGAACCTTCTAGCTTCCTCATCTCTCAGTTTTATATCCAGTTCTTTGCTGGGAGGATACTTTGGCAAACTTGACGGTTCACAAGCATAGGGCTCAGTGGTAAAAAACTGCAGAGAGGAAAAATTTGCAAATGCATTACATCTCAAACAATTTTTTTTTGGGGGTAAAAATCTCAAACATAAAGTTAATCCTGAAGTAATCACTCACATCACTATTTAGAGCAGCCGAGGCAGTTCCACGATCATCAGGATCTATTGAAAGAAGAGTACATATTAGATGTACAGAAGAAGGAGGGAAATCCTTGAAGGTTTCTAAAATGCATCGTTTATATGGCTGCTGTGGCTTAAAGAGTGTAGCATTTGGAAGTTTATATTTCTTCCAGTAGTCATCAGATGGAGAACCACATAATTTAAATATTTTGTGCAGTTGTTCAACCTACAAAAGATTCAATATTAGTCAAACGTCATCCTGAAAAAAGCAATTGCAGAGCAAAAAGTAAATAGATAATGAATGGGTTGCAGAAAAATAATTGGCTAATTAACTGCAAAACAGAAATATTAAAGTTTACATTCAGGAGTCGTGGTAATTCAGCCATATACAAGCCAGTAGTGGGTACAGTATTGAAAATGAAGACTCTCATAAACTAATGTGCGGTTTAAAAAGGTCCTCTGTTCCAGTTACTTCTTTTCCTTTCTAGTGCCTTGGCCTTTTTTTTTTTTGGGATTAATAGTGTCCTGGACTTTAATCTAGTCAGTCTTATGCTTAATGAATCTCATCTAATCCGTTAAATCACAGTTCAGTAACATAAAAAAATAAAAAAAAAAAATCAGGCTGATGAAGCAGCTCAACATGAGTCCATTGCCTTAGCACCAAATGGCCAATAAAAATGGCAACAAGAAGTCAAGCCCACAATAGAGCAAGATGAAATAAGATAAGATGAGCACAAACTGGCACTATACATATTTCAGGGCAATTTAGAAGACAATAGATATAGTAGTATTAAAAGCTAGAAAACAGCCACATGAGGATCAACACAAAAAGCAATACCTCTGTTCGGCCAGGCATGATTGGCTTCCCCGTAAGCAGCTCTCCCAAGATGCAGCCAGCACTCCAGATGTCAATACCAACACCATAGTATGTAGCCCCAAGAAGAAGCTCAGGAGCACGATACCAAAGCGTGACAACTCTACTTGTCAAAGGCTGCTTGTGCTCAGGATCATAGAAAGTTGCCAGTCCAAAATCAGCGATTTTAAGGATTCCTTCATCGTCAATAAGCAGATTAGAACCCTTGATATCACGATGCAAGACACCTTTGCTATGGCAATGCTCAAGGCCAGAGAGTAATTGCTTCATATAGCATTTCACCTGCCAAAGAGAAAATACTGAGAAACAAATCAGCCTCTCTACTTTTCTTTTTTTTCTTCTTCTTCTTCCTTTTGACACACAAATGAGGAGACCTCTAGTTTTCTTGGCACTGCATTAGGCATCAACGATTTAAAAAACTCCTCAACCAAGCATGTCAAGAATAAAATTTCCATACAGCAAATAATGGATCCCCATTTGTTATTCGATAACACTAGTAAGGAATTTCTTCCCCAAAAGAAAAAATTCTAGGGATGGATAAAACATAACAATGGCCGCATCACAATTGAATGTCCAATCAGGCACCTCGTATCAGTGTTTGTAGATACTGCAGACATTCTTGACAAAAGAAGAGGAAAGTTCCTTCATTTCAGTACTCAGTACTGACATCCTAATAAATAAAGTAAAAATTAAATGGCCTTACTTTATGGAGCCATGGATCAAAGGAACATTCAAAGTGATTGCATGAAGGAGAAAGGTAACTGAAAACATCATACGAAAATCTTCAGGCATTATATGGCTATGAGAAAAATACCTAAACTAAACATAAATATCATTATGTACAGGACTCAATACAGTCCAGAAAACTCAGAGCAACATCAAACACCTACGCCCCAATGATAATCACTGAAAAATAATATAGGATTTGAGTTTAAACTTAGCAAGGAGACAAAATAATAACCTAAAGCACAATTAAATGATGCATACCTAAATTTAGCTAGTATGCCAAATTGAAAACGACAAGAAAAAAAACAGATGGTAAATACTTTCACAGCGAACAAACTTGAGCTTAAATTTGTCGTACTTGAGGTTCAGTGAACTTAACACCTTGCCCAGCAGCCAGCCCCGCAAGATCATGTTCCATATACTCGAATATTAAGTAAAGACTGCATGACATTCTAGAAGTAACCAAGCCCTCGAGTTTGACGATGTTGGGGTGATCAAGCCGCCTCAAAACAAGAATCTCTCTCGCCATGAACTTCACACTCTCTGGCTCCAGATTATCAAACCTAACTTTCTTTAAAGCTACTATCTTTCCGGTAAGAAGGTCTCTCGCCTTGTATACATTGCTATACGTCCCTTGTCCAATCTGAAAACTCAGGACACAAAAAATGCATACCAACACCCTTTAAACTTTCAACTTTTGTGAGCCAAAAAAAGGAAAAGAGATTCGGGAATCACAGAAATAAAGTCAATTTCTCTGATCACCTTCGCAAGTTTCTCGAACGTGTTGGCGCGCCGAGGAGTCCAATCTCGGATTGCGTCGCCAGCTACAGCCATCAACCAAGACGGCCACCCCTGTTGGGTTTGAGCACGTGGATCAAGACTAGGTTGCCGGCGTTCCAGTCCCTGGAGATTATAAACAAATTCGCCGCCATGCTGTCGAGTCCTTTGCTTCTCCTTCGCCTTCCCTCTGTTCCCAACGCCAACAGCATTACCTCCGTCAGCAACAGAGCTTTGCTCAGGACGGTTCTGAGCTCCGGAGCCCCCCCTTGGGCCTGCATCATCCTTCGCCGCTCCGAGCACGCAACCCATCCGTCAGCTTCGTCCGGTGGCAGAGAATCGAAATCACATGGGAATAAAAAAAATGAGGGACCTTGCAGGGAGGACAAAACGCCAGTAACTGGCGGCAGATCCCGATGAAGCGGGGGTCGCAGAAATCGCCGGCGATAGACGATGGGTAGGCAAAGGTGGAAATTGGAATAGCCCGCGAACGGGAACACAAGGACAAGCTCTCTGAGAAGGAACGACTCGCCGAGGAAGCGGGCTTCTCCACTACGAGTCTGCTGAGAGTTCTAATAGCACAGAATATGAGGAAACCGGCCATAGCTTTGGAAACAATAACGGAATTGCCACTCTGAGTTTCTGAAAGTCTGAGTTGGAGCTGTCAGTGAAACCGTGAAGACTGAAAGACTGCAGAGATCGAAAAAGTCCAAAACGACACAGCATGATGAAGTCAGAGATCTTGGAGCCCAAAACAACAACAAAAGTCAAATTTACGTTCATTAATAAGATTGCGTCATTTATGCGTTAGGCCTAGGCCACAAAATGACCCAAAAGAATAGGGCAAGGCTTTAACTATATTAATCCACTTAATAAAAACAAGAGATAATTAATTCAGTTCCCTAAAAATGAAAATGCTACAGTGGTTTGAGTTTGTGAGCATATGAAAGGGGCATTAAAATATTGGGGCGGAAATCAAGTGAGTTCCACCAACCTTGTCCAAACGCAATAAATACTAAATAATGGCCCTTCCTTAAAGGCAATGGAAAGCAATGAGACGTATTCTGTTTTAGGACATCATCTCCACTTTCTCTCTCTCCGCTGGGTCTGGCTAAAGTTAGTAAGCTTTTTCCATTCTTGCATTTTATTTTACCTTTTCTTTTAATTTCAATAATTTTTTGAGAAAGAAAAACCCCAAAGAGAGGGGACATACACACCATTAATTTAATTTGGTATTTTGACTTTTCTTGTGACCACATACCATGTGCTTTTTTTTTTTTATCGCGAAATAAACCCGTGATGAACGCAGGAGAAGCCGAGCAATTCATTAGCTTCAAGGCAGAAATGCATATATATAGACTCCAAATCAGCGCGCGAAACGGCCAAACATGAATATCGTCCCATTTGATAACTCCTTTCTATATAAAAATCATGACAAATAATACTCTTTTGATTCTAAATATAAAACTCATTTTATAGTGTAATTTATACTACAAAATAAATTTTATATTTAAAACCGGAATGAGTATTATTTATAAGAACCCAAAGAAAGAACATAATTGTCAAAAATAACAAGCTGCTAGCAATGGTCAAATTAAATGTCAATATTCAATATTTTCTTCGCCCCATTAATTAGTTTGGTACGTGAAAAATAGAAAAAAGAAAAACAAGACGAAATGGGTTATAATAACATTCTCACATCTTTAATACGTGTTAGTTAAAGCAAAGAAAATTATAGCAGCGTGACATGAAAAAGTCAGGATATTCTATAAATGATGAATGAAATAATTTGTTCTGGATTCCTTCTACATGCATAAATGAATGCACTTTAGTTTTAGTTGTTCTTATAAAAGATATAAATCTACGCGAGAAAACAAGCAGTACAAGTCAACACGCCAAGGCTGAACCAACTTAAAATTTGAACAGAATAATTGAATTGAATGCTTAAGAGTTAGTGGGGGAGGCTTTGATTTTTCTCATCGCCAGCTCCTAAATTCTGTGGTCATGATGTCATGTGGGGTTTGTTCATCAGTGACGTGACTCTTTCTACGCCTCTGTTAAATACGTCCATGTCATGCCCTGAAACACGACCCTGAACAAATGGGTAATTAAATACGGAAACCTCCAAGTGAAGAAAGCTGTGAGCATAGAGCACACGATGCTCCCTCTATATTCAGAGGTTGACTTGTTGCAGCGAAAAAGGTTTCTGCTAATTGTCAGGTGTTTGGTTTCGCCTAAGTACGTAGGTTGATGCCAGATTTCTTAGATTTAGATTATCTCTAGTGCCCTTTCTTTCTACTATTTTTTTTTTCGTTTCATAACTATTGGATTATAATTCTAATAATTCAGGTTTAACATCTTATAAAAATAATATTATTAAAAAATAAATAAATAAATTTAAATTATTAAACTCTGGCCTGAATAAGTCACAATTGGAATAAAAAATTGAAAAAAATTTGCTTTATAATAACAATCTGTAACTCTGAACTGCTCAGATTAGATTTTAACAGTTTAAATTTATCTAATCTATTTTATATAATAATACTACCTCTAGTTCTAATTATAAGAGTCAGTTGATTAATTTGAGGAGATTAAGGAAGTAAGTTGAGTTAGTTATTTGTCCTGAATATGTGTTGTCTTCCTAAAATATCTTTGCTAATCAAGTGTATTGACTAGAACTATCATTGTTATGAGATCTACTTTGGAAAAAAATGTATAAATATGACAGACAAAGTGGACTGGGGTCTTATATTTACAACCAAAATAAAAGTCAAACGCGGTCTTATATTAAAGACCGGAGGTAGTATTTATTTTTATAAAATATTAAATCTGGACTATTGGACTTCTGATCTAATGGTTATGAAGAGAAAAAGATGGTAGAAGAGGGGAAGAGAATGGGGAGAGCATGTCTAAATTTCTTGGCTTAACCAGCTATTGTCTTCAACAATCTCAATCTCATTTTGAAGCTAGGAATGCAATAAGTTCCAGTTATGATTGCTCCATTATGCGTGTTTGACTTCGACGAGGAATCCATATGTTGAATACGGTGACCTGCTACGATGTTAAAACGAGAACAATTCAAAGTTGAAGTTAGCAACAAAATATTAGTAGAAAAGTTTAGCGTGACGAGCCCTAGCTAGCCTCTGTTTAGATTGAACTTAAAGAGCTTGGGGATTCTGACTTCAAAGGATATTGATTATGATTCAGAGCCAATAATGAGGAAGAAGTAATCCATTTGAAAGCGATGAAGTGAAGTGTTCGATATACTCTGGCTAGACGTGTTAACAGATCGGCTTTGTCACAAACACCAGGATTATTGGGGTTCCTTCCAATATTGATCTTGTTTTGGGAAAAAAATTCTGCAGAAAGGATTGGCTTTCCTCGTCACCAGTCAGGTCCAACTTCCAAAAGGTTATGTTATAACATTCCTCCTAAGTTACTCCGCAATGCAAATTATGGGCTCTCCTTTAACTTGTTCATTACGTTTCAACATCTACTTTAATGGGGGATCCTGTATTTCCTTTCCTCTTTTATAAAAGTTTCACGAGACTGAAAGCACTGATACACACTCCTCAAATGGGATCAGCCTGTGGGAGCCGGATCGTCAGTACAGTGAATTTTTCATCAATTATATGTTAAGGGTTCAATGAAGCAACTTTTTTAGAAGATAAAAGGGACAAATTTTAATTAAAAACTAATGTAAAACTAAGAGACAACCCTCTAATTATCAATCAATTATATCTCTAAACTTAATACTTCTCCGGTTCTAAATATAAGACTCTTATAATGTTGACACTATAAAGGTCTTACATTTAGAACCAGAAGAGTATATATATACATAACTTTTTTAAATTTGGAATCATAAATAAATAACTTTCCTTTTTTTTCCCAACAAATAATAACTTTCTATAACTCGTACAAAATAAATAATAAAACCAAATTAATAACAAAAAAATATCCGCATATATGTGAGAGATTCAGGGAATCATGTACTATGATTTAACCTTTTATTTTCTGGAGAAAAGAAGAATAAAGCGAGCAGGGAACAGGAAAAATGGAGGGGGAGGCTTCGCTTGATTTACGAGGAACTCAGGAAAGATAAGAAAAATAGCTTATTTCTGATTTTTGAGTGATGGAAGAAACAAAAAGACTCCATTCATTAATCACTTATTTGGGAGCTGATAGGTTCTTTTTTTTTTTTGGCCCCCCTGTGAAAAGCCGAAGCACTTGGAACATAAAGACATCTACAGCCCCCTATATAATCTAAGAAACCTGGGGATTCATTTATTTTAAATATTATTCAAATATGTATATTTTAATATACAATACAGTATATTATATTTTATTTTTATGTGTTCCATTACATTCCAGTAGATAAGCTATATACTATAATACTGATTACTGAATGAACTATTAAGATCTTGCAGGCGAAAAAAAGTATTAATATTTTTTTTTAAAAATCAATTATATAAAATAAAATAAAATAAAAATATTATGTTCGGCCCTTCTCTTGCGATGTTGTTTCTTTCAGTCTTTAAGAAAAGGGTGAGGCTGTGGGTTTTGACCTAAATGCCATGGATGTGAAGGAAATGAATCTCTCAGCCAACCCCTCTCTCTGCTTGTTATCTCGAAGATCAATATTTAATGATTGGATCCAATATTCTATGAAAATATTATTATATTGTAATATTAAATAAAAACTATGTATAAATAAATTTAAATATTTAAAATTTTAACCTGAATAACTTAGAGTAGCAATGAATAAATAAATTATTAATTAATTAAAATGCTAAAATTTCATCAAAATAATTTAGAACAGTAATTTTTTATTATAATAAATAAGGGTAAAATTTGAAAGTCATTATATTAATGGAGAATTAATACAGTTTAATGTTTTTCTTAGTCTATATAGCATGTATTAGAAGTGCTCTATAAATATGACTAAAGAAGTATGAAATGTGCAATAAAATGGTATAGATGTAATTATAGAAATTAGATAATTAATTTATGCATATTAATGAAAAAGTTAATTATTTGTAATGAATGTGTATCAGTTTCTCTAAGATATCCTCTCTCTTTTTTTTATGAAAAAATTTTTGGAAAAGGGTTAGGCTCACCCACGATCCAAGAGCAGGGCGAAATCTCCCTTTCTCCTAGGTCATACCAATGCTGGGCAGGGCGAGTCGTCAATTACCCTCAGGCGTTTACTAGACACCCAGGAGCTAGGATGCCTCCCCAAGCGCCGCAACTGGAACCACAACAAAGTGGTACTCCCTAGGGATCGAACACATGCCAACTTGGTCATATGTTTCACCCTTTCGCCGACTGAACCCTCTTTAATTATTACTTCATTGATGGGAAACCTGACCTCTCTCATGTATATATACAATCAAAAAGATTCGTATATGTAATTAATGGGAATAATTTGAAAAAAATAAATTTAAAAGATAATGTATATTTAAAATCAAATCAAATACTCGAACTAATTCTTATAATTAATTAGAATCGGGGAGTACTACTATTACTCTTGATTAACTACTAGAGAGAGGATGAGATTTTAAATTAGTTTGGACAACGATAATGCAAAGAACGAAGAGAGGTGTTTGAGATTGAGTGCTCCCATGCATAGAAAGTAGAAGGGGGATTGGAATGACGTGGGGTGGGGGGATGGAATATGGGTGGAATGGCTAATCTAAATAAAAGATACGATGGGGAGACTCTGTGAGGCGAGATTGAACTCAAAGAGCTTGGGGATTCTGACATCAAAGGATCTTGATTATGATTCAGAGCCACGAAGAAGGAAGAAGTAATCCATTTGAAAGCGATAAAGTGAAGTGTTCCAGATACTCTAGCTGGACATTTTAACAGATTGGCTTTGTTACAAACATACATCAGGACTATTGGGGTTCCTTCCAATATTGATCTTGTTTTGGCCAAAAAAAAAAAAAATCTGCAGAAAGGATTGCCTTTTTCATCATTTGTCAGTGTCCAACTTTCGGAAGCGTTATGTTATAACATTCTCCACAATGGAAATTCTGGGCTCTCCTTTAATTTGTTCATTGTGTCTCGACATCTACTGTAACGGGAGATCCCATATTTCTTTTCCTCTTCTATAACAGTTTCACGAGACTGGAAGCACTGACACGCGCTTCTCAAATTGGGTCAGCAAGGAGGCCGGATGTCCTGTACAGTGGATTTTCATCAATTATATGTTGAGGAGTTGATGAAGCAACTTTCTTAGAAGATAAAAGGGACAAAGTTAAATTAAAAATTAATGCAAAACTAAGAGACAACATAATATTATTTCCCCAATGATCAACATATCTTGAAGAAAACTTTGGAGAGCCGGGCATAAGATTTGTTGGATTCTAGGAGCTCCTTCTGCACGGGAGCAATGCCAATTGGTAAAGGGGCAGCAATTAGTGTGGTGTAAATGCACACCTAGGGTAAGGAGATTAGATTACATAAGCCTCTCATAACTTTAAAATATCTAAAAAGCCTTCTCAATTTTTAAGATGCATAATAATTATTCCCTCTAAATCTTTAAATTTACGTGTACAACCCTCTAACTATCAATCAATTATATCTCTCAACTTTACACACACACACACACACATTTAAGTTCTTTAAATTTGCCAACAAATAAATAACTTTCTATGACTCATGTACAGAATGAACAATAAAACTAAATTAATAACAAAAAAATTATCTGTATAGATGCGAGAGTTTCAGGGAATTATGTGCCATGATTTAACCTTTTATTTTGTCCAGAAAAGAAGAATAAAGCGAGCAAGGAACAGGAAAAAAGGAGGGGGAGGCTTCGCTGGATTTACGAGGAACTCAGGAAAGATAAGAAGAATAGCGCATTTATGATTTTTGAGTGATGGAAGAAACGAAAGGACTCCATTCATTAATCACTTATTTGGGAGCTGATAGGTTCCATTTTTTCCCCCCTTTTGTGAAAAGCCGAAGCACTTGGAACGTAAAGACACCTACAGCCCCCTATATACTCTAAGAAACCCGGGGATTCATTTATTTTAAATATTATTCAAATATTTTTTTAATAATACAATACAATACAGTATTTTTTTAATTTTTTCATGTGTTCCATTACATTCCAGTACATAAGCTATATACTATAATAATCAATAGACTATTAATATCTTGAGGCCCCAAAAAAAATATTAATATCTCTTTTATAAAAATAATTATATAAAATAAAATAAAATAATAATATTCGGCCCTTCTCATGCGATGTTGTTTCTTTCGGTCTTTATAAAAAAGGCGAGACTGTGAGTTTTGACCTAAATGCCATGAATGTGAAGGAAATGAATCTCTCAGCTAACCTCTCCCTTTGCTTGTTATCTCGACGCCCAACATTTAATGATTGGATCGAATATTCTATGAAAGTATTATTATATTGTAATATTAAATAAAAACTATATATAAATAAATTTAAATATTTAAAAATTTAACCCGAATAACTTAGAGTAGCAATAAATAAATAAATAGATTATTAATTAATTAAAATATTAAAATTTCATCTAAATTGTTTAGAACAGTAGATTTTTATTATAATATTTGTGTTTTTTACTTTTTATCTTTTGTAAAGTGGTGTTTAGAAACCCTCAAAATTACCTAACAAAAGTATTTTCACGTGATTTGTTTTATGTAATTATTTTGCATTTCATAAAATTATTTTTAAAAGCAGATCTAAGAGAGTGTTTGGTTTTTTTCAAATATATTTTTTAAAACACTTTCACATAAATTAAAGGGGAAATTGCAAAAAAAGACCTTGGAATTGCAAAAACGCAGATAGGGACCCTTGACAACTTCACTATGGGTTTTGACAACTTCAGGGCATATTATTCTTGTCAAAACCCATAGTGAAGTTGTCAAGGGTCCCTATCTGCGTTTTTGCAATTCCAAGGTCTTTTTTTGCAATTTTCCCTAAAAAAATAAATTTTTTTATATAACTATTTTATATAATATAAAATTACTTTTGAGATCATAGATACTTCTCCCTAGAGCTGGGGTGTGAATTGTGACTTGAAAGGGGGGGGGACGACGTGGACATCGTACAGGGGCCCGCGTCTCAGAAGGGGGCACAATACGTTACTTTCCGTACCACGGAATGGAAAAAGTTGTATGGGATTACTTGCTTGCTAACGAAGGAGTCTTCTCCTCGAAGGAGTCTCAAAAGACGAAGAGCTGGACCAAGACTTAAGGCGACTCACTCATCAGCCATCAGTCACTCTCACATTGTCCTGTGTGTGTGTATCCATTCATATTTGTTCCAGTTGCGATGCGTTTCTGAAAAAATCTGGTTCAACCTTTGAGAGAAGTGAGTGATTAAGTAGACTACTGCGAATGGGGAGTCCAAGTCCGAAGGAACACATAGAGGAGATACGAAGGAACAAGTTCTCCATTGGAGGCCCAGAAAACCCTGTGATCCCCGATCTTCACGAAGCTGTCAAGAATCTCTCTGCCGAGTTGTATGCTAAAGATGTTCACTTTCTCATGGAGCTCATTCAGGTTAGTTTCCTTCTCTACTTATCCTTCATACCTTGTCATTTACTACTTCTACCTTCTTTATCTTAATATACCTCAAAGCTTGCAACTAGAATATGTGTGTGTGTGTGTGTGTGTGTGTGTGTGTGTGTGACCAAGCAATGTCTGCATTAGAGCTCGCTTATTATCATATATGTATTGGATATTTTGTATGTCTGCCCTCTACACGATGAAATTCCAGTGTGATTGCATAACCTTGTACGTTTTAATATACTGCTCTGGGAAATTTGTTTTTAAAATACTTAAGTTAAAATTAATTAAGCTCCATGTGTTTCACCAGCTTTCCTTAAAATTTTGAAAGGGAAATGACATTTGACTATCAAAATATTGAATTAATTTAATATTAGGATCAAAAGATTTGACAACACCAAAATAAGTATCAAAAGTCTTTTTAATGGTTTGATACTTTTATTCCTTGATTTGCTATTTTAAAACTACTAATTTGCAAATGAGATTTACCTATCTATAGGGGGGGGGGGGAATAACTTGTTAATGAGACCATAACTTCTCATGGTTTGATATTTATATTCCCTAACTTGCTATTCTGTGGTTACTCATTTACAAATGAGATTCATGAATATTTTTCATAACTTGCATTTGCCATTACAGAATGCAGAAGATAATCAGTATGATGAGGGGGTTGATCCAACACTTCAATTCATCATAACATCAAAGGACATAACAGCCACACGAGCTCCGGCCACATTACTCATTCTGAACAATGAGAAGGGTTTTTCTCCCGAAAACATTAGATCCATCTGCAGTGTTGGACGATCCACTAAGAAGGGCAACAGAAGAAGTGGTTACATAGGGGAGAAAGGTACTTTCTTACTCTTGATATTTCCTTAGCAGAGCATTTCCTTTCAACAAGAACCAAGTTCAAGTTCTTTTAATCACTAAAGATGAGGTAAATAGTTTAATAGTATTTTGAAGCCTAGATAAATGGCAATTCATATAACTAACTACAACTTGTTTTAATAGTATTGTGAGGTTCTGCAGAGGGTTGGGGGATATACTTACATAGATAGTTTTAGTTTTAATTTATCTACAACTATCTGAGCAATTGACCACGTTCCTATTTTACAAGCAGCGTCTGAAGCAATGTTGATAAAAGCTATTTTATGGTTAAATTGCAGGGATTGGTTTCAAGAGTGTATTCTTGATTACTGCAACGCCTTATATTTTCAGCAATGGATATCAGATACGGTTCAATGAGGGGCCCTGTCCCCATTGCGGTCTTGGATATATAGTGCCGGAATGGGTTGAGGAGAACCCAACACTTGAAGACATAGAGCAAATATGTGGTGGGGGTGCTTCCCTTCCAACCACAGTCATTGTATTGCCTCTGAAGCCAGACAAAGTGGGACCAGTGAAACAGCAGCTCTCCATCATTCATCCAGAAATTCTTCTATTCCTTTCAAAAATCAAACAACTTTCAGTGAAGGAAGATAACGACGATCCTAGGCTCAATACTGTAACTGCCATAGCCATTTCGAGTGAGATTGATTTTATGACAAGAAAAAACATGAATGCTGAGTCCTACATTCTCCGTCTATCTGCTGAAGAGAATGAGGATTCTGAAAAGGAATGTATGTACCACATGTGGAGGCAAAGATTTCCTGTAAGGCCAGAAAATCGAGTAGAAAGAAGAATGGATGTGGAGGAGTGGGTTGTCACGTTAGCCTTTCCAAATCAGGAGAGGCTTAACAGGGGAAGGAGTTCACCTGGGATCTATGCGTTTCTTCCTACAGAGATGGTAACCAACTTTCCTTTCATAATTCAAGCAGATTTTGTCTTGGCTTCATCAAGAGAGACAATTCTCTTGGATGATAAGTGGAACCAAGGCATACTCAACTGTGTTGCTTCCGCTTTCATGGATGCATTCAAATCACTTGTTATATCATCAGATGATGCTCCGGTGTCCAGTTTGACTCGGTTCTTTCAATTCCTTCCGGTCAATGATTCTTCCTATCGAGAGTTGAATAATGTGAGGGATACAATCAAAGCAAAAGTGGTTGAAGAAAGTATTGTTCCTAGTGAGACATACTCGAAGCAGAAGCACTTTTATAAGCCTCGTGAAGTTGGCAGACTATTGCCTGCTTTCTGGGATATTTTAACAAAGGCCAAAGAGGAAGGAGTGCACTTGGGAAACCTATCATCCCATGGAAACTATATTCTAAATTCTTCGTTTGACCAAGTTCAGTATGATCACATACTGGACTTCTTGGGTGTACATCCAGTCAACAGTGAATGGTATGCAAAGTGTATTCTGAGTTCTAATCTCGTGATGGGAGTATCAGAAGAAGTCTACTTGCAGCTTTTGCTGTTTGTTGCTGAGAATTGGGGGTCCAGGATCTGGTTCTCCAACATGAAGTACATTTCTGCAATCAAATATGTTGGTTCGGATGGAAATATGTCCTATTTCAATCTTGAGAAATGCAGAAGGGACCATGGTTCCGTGAAGATTCTCTTAGCTGATCCGAATCAATCCTGTCCTATCTCGTGGCTCATTTCATGGAACAAGGAATTCTCTTGTGCGGGCAATCATTATTTTATGCCAGAAAATACACAGAAGGCAATACAACAATTCCCTCGGAAACAGACTTTGTTGGGATGGCTGGAAAAAGAAATTAATGTTGAAATTTTGGGTGCAGAGCATTATGCAAATCGCGTTTGCAATTCTATCAGCAGTGACTGCCACCTCGCCCTTGCATATTCGCATTTCTTATATCACTCATTCTCAAAGCGATATTTGTCCAAGCGGCAGGTTGATGATCTATGCCAGTCCTTGCCACTAATAGACAATTATGGTCGCGTGTCCACATGCAGGCAGGGGGTTCTTGTGCCGGCTAAAGGGAGTAAATGGGCAGATTTGATTGTTTCTAATCCATGGAGGGATGAAGGCTATGTTGAGTTGAAAGAAGACTATTTGCACTCACGCTTCTATGCAAGCCAATATACCAAGCAGAACGAGCTCATGGGCTTCCTTGGAGCTCGTGTTGGAGCCTGTGATATACCTCACATATATCCTCCAAATGCTGGCTTTTCCTCGGTTAATAATCCTCTGACGAAGGAAAATGCTTTCTTGCTTCTGGGTTGGATACGGAATCTCAAGTATAGGGGAATTCTGCCAGAGAGGTTCCTGAAATCCATAAAGGAAGGTAGTTGGCTGAAAGTTACAATCAATGGGTATAGGCCACCTTCGAAGTCATTCTTAGTCGACTCAACATTGGGAAACCTTTTGCAAAATGGATCTGTTCTTGTCGACATTCCATTGGTTGATCAGAGGTTTTATGGGGATAAACTTGCTGAGTACGAGGACGAGTTGAAAACAATTGGAGTGATGTTCAGTTGTAAGGAGGCATGTGCATTTATTGGGAATGAGCTGATGTCTCGGGCAGCTTCTTTCACTTTAAGTAGAGATCAAGTTTTTTCGATTCTTAGATTCATCAGATATCTAAGGCGAAATTTTTTTCCCTTGGACGATTTTGTGAGCAGCATAAAAAATGGAAGGTGGCTCAAGACGGACCTCGGTTATAGGTCTCCTGGTAGAGCAATCTTGTATGATTGTGAGTGGGAAACTGCATCACAAATTAGCAATCTCCCTTTCATCAACAGATCTTACTATGGGGAAGAAATATATCAATTCAAGGAGGAACTTCAGTTGTTGGGTGTGATGGTTGGCTTTGGTGGAAGATACCAACTTCTTATAGACCACTTAAACTCACCCTCTAATTTGATCTGTTTCACGGCTGATGCTATTATCTTGATACTAGAATGCATGCATTTCTCAGGTGACTCCGGCAAGCTTGTTAGTGCGCTTCGAGGATCAAATTGCTTGATGACAAGCAAGGGGTTCAAAGCTCCCAGTGACTGTTACTTATCTGATCCTGGATGGGGTTGTATTCTAGAGGTATTCAATAGTTTTCCTGTGATTGATCATAAATTCTACGGGAACAAGATTATGAGTTACAAGGATGAGTTGAGGATAATGGGAGTGGTGGTTGATTTTGAGGATGCAATCGAAGCATTTGGAGTTGTTTTTGAGCAGAAGGCATCTCAAACTTCCTTGACCAAGCAACATGTTGAGTCATTTCTCTCCTGCTACAGACAACTGAATGAAGCTCGATATTCATTTCCTTTAAAGTTTTCGACCAAGTTAAGAAGTGCCAATTGGTTGCGGACGCGATTTGGTGCTTATAAGCCTTCCAAAGGTTGCATTTTGTTTGGTCCAGAATGGGAGTCTCTCTCTGCAATTACCCGTCTCCCCTTCATTGATGATAGTGATAATTTTTATGGCAAGGGCATCCATGAGTACAAGGAAGAGTTGAAAAGAATGGGAGTTGCTATTGAAGTGAAAGACGGACTCAAGTTAATCTCTGCTGGTCTAAGGTTTCCTTCAGATCCTTCCTCCATAACTCCTGAAAATGTGTTTTCATTGCTGGAATGCATTCACTTAATGCACGAGGGTCTTCAATCCTTTGATGAGGACTCTGCAAAACAGTTGTCGAAACGATGGTTGAAGACCAAAGGTGGTTATGAGACTCCAAAAAGATGTTTATTGTTTGATTCTCAGTGGAAATTGGAGCCAATGGATGGACCATTCGTTGATGAGACTTTTTATGGACCGAAAATTGCATCTTACAAAAAAGAACTCGTGGCAATAGGGGTTATTGATGATTGTCAGAAAGGGAGCTCAGTAATGGCTAGTTACCTCGGCTACCATTCTGAATTTTCTACCATAGTGCGAATTTACAGGTACTTGAGTGAATATGATTGGAAGCCTGAGAAAGAAACTGATAAAAGGAAAATGATGTGGATTCCAAATGGAGATCAAAATGGAGAGTTTGTCAATCCTGAAAACTGTGTCATCCATGACAAGGATAATCTTTTTAGTTCAAAGTTCTATGTTTTGGAGAGATACTACGAAAAGAAGTTACTTCACTTTTTCTCCTCAGCTTTGGGCGTGAGAAGCAATCCTCAGGTTGATGACTACATAGAGCTTTGGAAAGAATGGGAGAATTCAGTTGAACAAATTTCACAAGACAAATGCTGTAAGTTCTGGAGTTTTATTTTGCAGCACAACAGCCAGAAAACAAGGAAAAAGCTTTCTGAGAGCTTGATGAAACTACCCGTTACATCAGACTCCAGTGGAATACTTTTGTCTGACAAGTCTGATGTTTTTGTTGCTGACAACCTTTATATGAAGAATCTTTTTGAGAAACAGAGAGTATTTGTCTGGTATCCTCAGCCAAGCTTGCCATCATTGGACAGGCTTGAATTATTAGACATCTACAAGGAAATTGGTGTTTGCACTATATCTGAATGTGTACAGAAGGAAGAATCGTTTCAACTAGATGGTGCGCATTTCAATGAGGTGGAGCCAAGGAGTATCTTCATTGGAAAGGGGTTGGTTAAGCTTGTTCTTGGTTTTCTTGCTTGTTCTAGCCTCAACATGGAAGTAGAGAAGAGACACAAAGCTGTCGAAGGTCTTCTTGAGCTCAAAGTTTATGAGATGACTGAGCCAATCACTGTAAGCTATTGTTTGTCACTTTCATCAGGGAGGACCATTACCAAGAAGGCGAACAGGATGATGCGTTGGGAAAATTCCAAACTTTTCATCCAGCATATGGACTTGGAAACTGGAAATGCAAGCATGATCAAATATGCCACTTTTTACTCGGAAGCAATCTCTGTGGGCATACTGTGTGAGAATGTTGATCATGTAGGGGCACTTTCTGAGCTGATCAAGTTGGGATTTCTACTGAAGTTCGACGAGGAAGCAGTTGACTTCCTGATGGAATCCAGGGATTTGCAAATTTTCTTGGAAGATGGAGAATTCCTCAACGCTGCCTTTCCATCCAACTAGGTTTGCTGTGGATAGTTTCTGCAACGCTTGTTCTTCGATTCTGTAGCAGAGTCTATGTTATTTGAGTTTGATAAATTGCTAAAGGTTTCTTATGTTTGCCCTTGTGTGCGTTTTCATATTCAGAGAATATGATATTATGTGTTGCCATGTAAGACTTGGACGAGCTACTTATAGTTCGATTTGATGATGTGGTCAAAGTGTTCTAGATAAAGTTTTATGCTAATCAACATATGTTTGCAATAAGCTGCAGTATTCCTTCTCCAAGTCTTTTGTCTGGACAAGAGAAATTGAATTATGTGACAGACTACTGTGTAGGGTAAATCAATTTAGCATTTGAAAGAATCGTAAAATACATAATACCAATTACATGAAGAACAAAGACAAGCTATTTATGTTCTTCGTATTATTGATAACGGCATGCTCCCTAATAATCCACCTGATGAGGGGAACTCAGGAACAAAATGAAATATTCAGTGAAATGGAGAGTATCGGTTGGCTGGTCATTATTCTTTCTGATATCTATAAATGTCACAGTCATTTCATTGTTTTTGCAGCAGCAAGACGATTTCTGTCAACGCCAGCGCAAGAGCAACCCGCGTATAATGATTTAACAACGAGTGCATTCTTCACAACCCGGAATTTCTTCTTTCTGTTTCTTCTTCTCTTAACAGTTGATTGTGTTTCAGCGCACTGAATCGAGAAATAAGAAGAGAAATGTGAGGGGGGAAAATATCTTGAAACATTTTGTTATGCATACCGTCATTGTTGCATTTGGTGAAATAATAAATAAATAGACAGATAGATAGATAGATAAAATCAAGAGCGAAAGTAGAAATTGCTCACCTCGTTCAAGATTTTTGAGTTCTGTGATGATGCGGCACTACCTGTGCTGTCAACACTCGATGTCTTGACGTGCCCCGAAGCCGGGTTTTGCACACTCTCAACACTGACTGATTTCTGGTGCGTGATCATTTCTTGGCTCTTACCTGCATTTATTTAACACACAAGATTTTGTTTAAATTTGCAGAAGCACAATATCGAGGATCTTGTTAAACACACACACACAAAAGAACATGTTACAGTCAAGCTTGTTTGAATTTGCAGAAAACACTCACTTTCGTCCTTGTCATTCTGGGGAGAAGACAATAAATTCTAACGCTTGGGGAGCCTGGACATACGAGTCCGCCAAAATCAAAATCATCACCATCATCATTTTTCTCTTCTACTTGTTCATGCTCATTCACTGCAACTGTTTCCTCTGCTTCCTGAGTATCTTTGTCGTTGTCGGCGTTTATCTCTTTTTCTGGGAGCGCTTGTTTCGTGTTGCCATTGTGATTTTCTGCATCTGTGAAAGTTTCATATTCTGAGTCTGAGTCAGGCAATGGAGCCACTTTGTTGGTGGGTTCAACCTTGCTCGGAGAAGTCACCGCCGGCTGGTACACTGCTTCAACTTCACCGGAAGAATTAGAGTTAATATCTCCATCTTCCTTTAGCAGCTTTTTCTTCGAGAGGGTGGTTTCTCTCTGCATGGCGGCTGCTGGTCTCTGTCGGCGTTTTGTAATCTCCTCATAACGACGAAGAAAAAGGGGGCGAATTTTTTCAGGTACTACCCCTTCAACAGAATTCATCCTGGAACTACCACACCCCATTGCACGAGGAAGAAGAAGAAGATGATGATTGTGACGATTATGAGGTTGCAAGCAGAAGGATTAATTCTGCTGCAACTCTCAAAGGACTTGAAAATTCGTTGATGATGAGAGCAGGTGCAGCAAGATGGGGAAATATATAATGGCGTTGTGAATGTACAGAGTGTGATTGCAGGTGATGATGGATAATAATAGACAAGGTAAGATATTGTGATTTGATTCAGACTAAAGGTGTGTTTAGATGAAACCAAAGTGTAGTGTAGAAAAGTGATTTTGGAGAATAGATTTTGAGAAGAATAGATTCTGGAAAGAATAAGGGTGTGTTTGGGTGACACCTCAAACCATGGTTTGGGGACCCAAACTATGGTTTGGGTGACACCTCAAACCATGGTTTGGGGACCCAAACTATGGTTTGGGGTGTCAATCACCCAAACACCCCCTCTAAAAACCAAAATCATGGTTTTGGAAAAAGCAAAATTTTTTTGCTTTTGGAGGAAAGAGAGAGAGTGTGAGAGCCTATATGATATGTATCTTGTTATTTTTTTTATAAACATATTTTTTGATAAACATATTTAATCTTATATTTTATAAATATATATACACATTAATTATTTATTAATTATATTATCTTATGTATTATTAATTATGTTGGTAAAAAATATATTATTAACAATTTTATTCCTTCAAATTAAAATATATCATAAAATCTATTTTTTTTGTAATTATCATATTAAATTATGTCTTTTTTTTAGTAATTTGTATATAAAAAGTGCTTCTGATAACAACTATCCAAACATTCTCACTTCTCAGAATCATTTTTTTACAAAATCTATTCTTCACAGAATCTATTCTCCAGAATCACTTTTCCAAACCACGGTTTGGTTTCATCCAAACACACCCTAAATGTTATGAAAAAGTGATTTTAAGAAGTGAAAGTGTTTGGATAGTTGTTATCAGAAGCACTTTTTATATATACAAATTACTAAAAAAAAATATAAGTTAATATGATAATTACAGAAAAAATAGATTTTATAATATATTTTAATTTGAAGGAATAAAATTGTTAATAATATATTTTTTATTAACATAATTAATAATACATAAGATAATATAATTAATAAATAATTAATATGTATATATATTTATAAAATATAAGATTAAATATGTTTAAAAAAATATGTTTATAAAAAAAATAATAAGATACATATCGTATAGGCTCTCACACTCTCTCTTTTTTCTCCAAAAGCAAAATTTTTTTGCTTTTTTCAAAACCATGGTTTTGGAGCTAAAACCACGGTTTATGCAAATTGGGTGGGTGTTTGGGTGACTTATCACCCAAACCATGGTTTGAGGTGTCACCCAAACGGTGCCTAAAGGTGTGTTTTCAGCTGGAAATGAACTTGGGGGGTGTTTGGATAACCTCAAACCATGGTTTGGAGAATAGCTTCTGGAGAATAGATTTTGGAAAAAATAGATTTTGGAAGAATAGCTTTTTTGAAAAAGTGATTCTGATAAAGCGAGAGTGTTTGGATAGTTGTTGTCACAAGTGCTTTTTTATATGTAAAAATTACTAAAAAGGACATAAGTTTAAATAATAATTACATATGAAATATATTTCATAATATATGTTTATTTGAAGTAAATAAAAAATATTAATAAAAAAATTAATACGTATATGTATTAATAAAATAAATAAATATGTTATTTTGCAAAATATTTAATAAAATAATTAAACATGTATATATATTAATAAATAATATATATAATAAAATAATTAAAATTAAAACGTATATATATTAATAAAATAATTAAATATGTTTTTCATAAAATAATTTATTTTGCCAACCAAAAAATATGATTATTTAATTCAATTTAATTAATGCATGAGAAGTTTTAATGCTTCGGAGCTGTTGCCGACGAAAAGAAAAGTCCAACGTGTGGGGGCCACTCAATCCAATATATATAGTATAGAATAAAAAGCGGGTCGCGTGCTGCTTCAGCTGAAACTAAAGTTTCAAGCTCAAAACCATAGTTTTGCTGAAAATCATGGTTTTCAAAAAAAATAAGGGTGTTTGGCATATTTTTTGCCAAACCATGGTTTGGCAAAAAACCCAAACACCCCCTACAACTATCTAGGCTTAGGCACTGTTTGGATGACACCCCAAACTATGGTTTGGGTGATAAGTCACCCAAACACCCACCCAATTTGCACAAACCGTGGTTTTGGATTAAAACCATGGTTTTGGAAAAAGCAAAATTTTTTTGCTTTTGGAGAAAAAAGGAAGAGTGTGAGAGCCTATAGGATATGTGTCTTGTTATTTTTTTTATAAACATATTTTTTTATAAATATATTTAATCTTATATTTTATAAATATATATACATATTAATTAATTATTAATTATATTATTTTATGTATTATTAATTATGTTAATAAAAAATATATTATTAACAATTTTATTCCTTCAAATTAAAATATATTATAAAATCTATTTTTTCTGTAATTATCATATTAACTTATGTCTTTTTTTTAATAATTTGTATATATAAAAAGTGTTTCTGATAATAACTATCTAAACACTCCCACTTCTCAAAATCACTTTTTCATAACATTTATTCTTTTCAGAATCTATTCTTCTCGAAATCTATTCTCCAGAATCACTTTTCTAAATCACGGTTTGATTTCATCCAAACACACTGTTAGTAATGACATTTTCAAGAACTTAAAAACGGGTGTGTTTTCAGCTGGAAATGAACTTGTTCATGGTTGGAGGAAAGCGTTATATTTTAGTTGCAATAACGGAAGAATGTGATATGGTTTTGCCTTGTCGGTGAGTAACATCTTACGACGTTTTTGTCAGGTGTTTGGTTTGGCCTAAATACGTAGGTTGATGCCAAATTTCTCACATTTAGATTCTTTCTACTACCTTTTCCCTTCATTATCCTCTTTTTCTTTTTACAGAGATCAAAATTTTAATAATTCAGATTTAATATCTTATAAAAATAATATTATTAAAAAAATAAAAATAAATAAATTTAAACTATTAAAATCTGATTTGAACAGTTTACAACTGTAATAAAAAAAAAATTAAAAAAATTGCTTTATAACAACAGTCTTAGTTATGAACTGTTCAGATTAGATTTGAACAATTTAAATTTATCTAGTCTATTTTTTATAATAACATTTATTTTTATAAAATGTTATAAAATATTAAATCTGGACTATTAGAGTTTTGATCTAATGGCTATGAAGAGAAAAAAAAGATAGTGGAGGGGAAAAGAATAAAAGGGGCAGTGGAAGAAATCCAAGTCCAGATTTCTTGGCTTAACGAACTATTGTCTTCAACGATCTTAATCTCATTTTGAAGCTGGGAATGCAATAAGTTCTAGTTACTCTGGCTAGACGTGTTAACAGATTGGCTTTGTCAGAAACACCAGGATTATTATGGTTCCTTCCAATATTGATCT